AAAGCTTGAAAACATCTTATAAATTCAAAGCTTGAAAACATCTTATAAATTCAAAGCTTGAAAACATCTTATAAATTCAAAGCTTGAAAACATCTTATACATTCAAAGCTTGAAAACATCTTATAAATTCAAAGCTTCAAAATAGAAAGAATTTATTTCGCCTACCAAAGAATATGCTATTTATTCCCTCGTAGCCATCGCTTTGGATTTGCTTACTCTTAAAGAAGGGGTAGGGGGTTTTCTGTTACATTCAAAAACATATAAATGGCGCAACTCCAAAAAGTAACATTCGTCATAGCTATCGACTGCATCACGTACAGAGGCAATTGCTCTATCTTTTTGTATTATGCCACCACAAGTGCGATGCTCGTCATTAAATAGGGCTTTAAATTTAATATTTGCCGTAATTTTAATAATTTTTTAATTTCATGGACCAAGCCTAAACGGGTCGCCTCTAGCAACCGGTCCAGCACGGTCCCAGAACACCAATGAAAGGGTTCGCTAACCATACATTTCCCCATATGCATTGTTGGATAGTAACCTTCCTACATCTTTAAATTGCAAATTCGAAAAACCAACCCATCCTCAGTGTATCGGCCTGAGCATGTGCACATGGATTGATAATAAATCTGCTCAACCAATAACTGCGAACCGTTTATATGCATATCATTAAGGTGCCTCAGGACGGTGAAACCCAGCCGTGTATAACGACAGCGCCACCGTTTCGATTGCTCCAAATCCACTGTACAGGCCTGTTCTCGCCAACGATCGAAATGACGGCCGGAAGGAGCCGTGGAGCCTTTTTGGAATGCTGTCCAGAGCCCGTCACAATGACCAGTGGCTCCCTAGTCTATTCCATAATTAAAGCATTTCAAATTGCAAGGCTGCATGGGGGTAATCGCAAAGAGTGCAATTGTGCTTACCTCAAGTTGATGCCAGATGAAAAGAAGCTCCCTCGTCAGCATCTGCACCTCGGACACATGCAAGCCGTGGAAATCAATGACAATGTCTCTAGTATTCCAAACCGAGTTGTTCGCCAAAAGAATCAAATATATTGCCTTGTAATGAAGGATGGAAATCCGAGTTGAGAGAATGTCGCCCTATGTTGCTAAGAGCCGCTCCTTACTTTTCGCGCATAAAATGATGCGACACTTGCACCGCCCGAATTCCGCCCAAGCGACTGAAATGCCTCTGAGGCCTTTTGGAACATCAACAGACGCTCTGCAACCAGCGAATGGGCATCATCCCTAAGTTGCTTGATCCTGGGTTCTGGATCCTCATTTTCGTTGAGCGATATGCTATGCAAATCGCGGAATGACTCGCTAGGTCCTTTTTTAAAGCGAACAAATTCAAGAAGCTTGTTGAGAAGAAGTCGCTGCAAGGCTGCTCCAGTTGCTGGAGCCTTCTTCAGCTGTCTGTTCGGTGCCGAAACAGCAGCCTCCGGGTAAATTTCGGGTGCAATTGAGAGGATAGGCGAAAAAAGCGGTGCATCATCAAAATCGTCTGCGTCCTCCTCGAGCTCTCCCATTTGGATTAGCACGGGAGGACTCGCCCAGCAGCCTCTACGCACAGTTAGTATCAAACTGGAACCAATTTTCAATTTAAACAAAATTTATGTAGGTAGTCAAGTTATGATGTCCAAATATCCGAAACAGCCATTCACAGATCTTTGGGCCGGATACGGCGAGCCAGAGCTGCAACATGGGGCCTACAAAGTAGCCATGCTTCAAAGCTTGAAGAGAGCCCATTGTGATCATGAAGGCGATCAAAAAAGAGATAGTGGCCAAAGCAAATCAGATAAAAGTAGCGCTCCAAATACTGCACCTGCAGCGCCAAGTGATCCGAAAGCTTTGGAATGGCCAGTCGCAGATTCTGCACATCATCAAAAGAGTTTATGACGTAATCTACGATACGCTTTGCAGCTGCCCCATTCTCCAGCATATCGACGAGGCCGCGCACCGGTGCGAATGCATTGTCCATATCCTCGGCAGATAAATCTTGCGCCGCCAGTACAACATGAGCGTTCGAAAGGATACTAGATCGACTTTTGTGTTCATGTTTAAGCAGCATCAATGCACAAAGAACAAGACCCGTGGTTGTCCGTCCACGTCCCATCTGACAGTGAAAAAGGGCCATGTTTATCGGCTCAAGTGTACCATTTTGACCGGCCGTTGTTTCCTGGGCATTCCAGAAACTATCAAGAACAGCCGAAATCTCGTCAAAAGCATGCGGAAGAGGAGCCTGCTCATCGCTAATCGGTATTCGGAAATATACAACTTCTTCGACACCTTCGATGGTTGAAAGCGCTTCTCGCGGTGTGCGTACGTCCGCAGGCCCTTGCAAACTCAATCTGTATGCGTGCTGTGTGAGACCGCAGTCGTCCTCCTCAACCTCGCCATGCACCAGCACACTTTTTTCACGATCAACTTCTTCTTTGACCAGTGCAACAAGATCCCCTTCAATCCGCTCAACGTCCCGCGCCGAAATACCAGTGGTAACGATATTTTGAAACGGCCGACAGGCCTCCACAAGGGAAAATGGCCCAGGTCCCAAGTAAAGCACAGGTTCTTCGCGCAAGTTTATCCATAGCAGCCGTATGCGCTGTTTACAAGTGCAGTCCGTTGCTTCCATCATGGCCCGAGCTATTGCCGGCAGGGCCAATAGTGATGGGATGCCTGTGCCTGCCAACACACGTCCGCACCACTTTTTGATTCGAAAATTGGGCGCACCCGCAATTCGTGGTACTGCCTGAGGAAGCCGATGGCACCCGATAAAGTGCGCATCCTTCAGAATGTGATCCGCGTCCATGACGGAAACACCCCTTAGCCCCAGGTCTAGTCCAAAAACTTCTTTTGTATGCATTGCCAGCCGCTCCGTTGTGGATTGAAGTAGCGCTGCATACATTCGCATCATCTCGAGGTGCAAAGTAAGCCATTTGCCAAAACGCTCTCCAAGAAACTTGTCGCGACATGGTCGCTCATCGAGAAGAAAAGAGGCGACCATCACAAGCAGAAAGAGACGCGATATCACTACGCCATGGCGTCTGGGTCCGCTACGCATTGCATGCAACGCGGTCCGTGAAAAGTGGCCCCCACCCAGCTGCTTTGCCACAACGCTGCTGACAAGTTGCCATGCAGCGCGACCATGAGGCGCTGCTCGAACCAACGCCACAATTTTGGGGTCGTCATCTGTACCTGTAGGCATCGGATATGTCTCTTCTTTTTCTTCATGGGCAAGTAACACCAAAAGAAGTGCCATGCAAAACGAAGAACGCGAGCCTTGACGTCCAGAACGGCATTGCACCATGACAACATTTCCTCCGATTGAAAAAAACTCACCAGCAGCCTCAAGAATCGCGACAATGTGTGCAATAGCGGGCTTCGTGTCTCCAGGAAGTGGGATGCGTTTCCAGTGGATCTCAGAACGTGTAACCTTTCGGGCTTCAATAACGGCGGCGGTGGGGCTTCGTATGGTTCCTTGTGGCCATGTGGATGGGACCATGCCTGATCGCTCCTCGAAAAAGAAAAAGTTCTCCCGATCCACGCACGCCTCTAGCAGAGGGCGCAAGTCTTCCGCAATCCGATCTTCTATCTCCGCCAAGCGCGTAGCCGGAACTCCCACAAATGCCCGTAGATGTCTTTTTGCAGTCGCTTCGTCTCGAAGCGACCAAATGCTCTCTTCACCGATATGAACATAAGGTTCTCCACGAAGGTTGAGCCACAAAATTGGTTGGCAAAATTGATCCGAAATTTCCTGAAACTTGAGCATCCATTCGCGCTGATGTTTTAAACTCATTTGTCCGATTCCGATCAGCGAGATGACATTGCCTACCTTCTGATGCAGATTTCGTTTTGCGTTATGGTGCGATAAATTCAAAACACTAGCATCAGCATCAATGCGACATATTCGTTGCTCGTCCGCATCCCTTTTCATGATAAGGGCTGAAGAATGTAGGATGAGCGGAAGGCCGCTTTTAATTCTATTCGCCGCATTGGGTGTACCTGTTAGTGATAAACGCTCCTCTTCCACTGCGATATCACTGATGTTTGCAGGCGAAGGCAAAGGACGAAATAGCCACGATGATGCAGGGCGTTTTGAAAACGCCTGTAGCTGCCCAAAGACAAGATCAGGCATTGTCGCAGACGCCCAGGGCAGAAAGCGATCCGTGTTGCTTTTTTGATCGCGCCAATGTGCAAAAAGAATAAGAGCTGCATATCTTCCAAGCCATGTAGCAGCGGCATCCAAGTTTCCCAAAGAGTGATGATGAAGAATGCGCTCTGTAGGCGTTCTGATGTGCGAGAAATTTTCCTTAAAGTAAAGATTCGCAAAAATTCTATCTACGCACAGCTTTGCCGCCATGCCATCTGGGATAGACCCCACCATAATTGAGATCCTTTCAAAATCTACATGTTCAGGAGCTTGCGTATTCCTCTTTGCTGAGTGGTGGCTCTGTCCCGAAAATGATGAGGCTTTGTGTGTTTTCTCATTGCCATGCTGTGGCAGCAATTCCTCTTCTTTAAGTTGTGTGCAAATATCTTGCTGATGTGGTGGGCTTAAAGGCGATTTTGAAGCAGCCATAATCCTTAATGCAGCAAGGACCACAGAAAGTGGACCTGGAGAGTCGGCATCGCCAATCAAAAATACCTTTCTGTCCCCAAATGTCGACATAAGTTTAGCAAACTGGTCAAGAAATTCCATTGGCGGATCTGAGTCTGTGTCTGAGCCTGTTGGAAAGGCAAGACGGGCGCAGCTTGGAAAAGCATCCGCCAATGCCACAACACTTGAAGATGGCGTATCGACACCTGCGCAAATTTCAGAACAATTTGAAGATACTTCCTTGGCAACTTGGGAAATTTCTGTTGCGCTTTTTGCAGATGGAACCTCTGCGGCGTTATTACTTTGGCCATCTTGTAGACGTTGAACAAGAGCGACGAGGCGTCTCTCCATTGCAGAAAGTGTTTCCCCGGAAAGGAGACCGGTAAGATAATCCCCTTCAAGGGCATAGGGAAGGCCATTGCAAAAAACGACTGGCCGTGATATAATTGCAACCACCAACACTTTTTCCCCTTGCGATACAGAAGAAAGCACAGAGTAAATGGTTTCCAGGGGTGCCAAACCCATTGCCATATGCAGCCCATTTGTAAGCAAAAATGATTGCGGCACTTTTGAGTCTATTTGCAGCCGCAACTGCTTGTCTACAAAAGACCCCGATGGCAATGCAATTGTTTCCATCCCAAAAAATTAATTTTAAATTCAAATTCGAAGCAAAAATTTATACCAGAAAATTTACTTTCGAGCCATGTAATTGGTCTGTAAATATTATTTTTTAAAATGCGTTCGCTACTGTTTGCGGCTCTACTCATCGAATGCATACTGGTCATAGGGCCTGCATTTATGCGCTTGCCAATAAAAAGTCTCCCGGGCCTTTTGAAATTGTTTTCTGGAAATCCGCCACTTTTCTTTTGGAGCTACTATTCACAATTCTATACAGGAGCCTTGCCGCCGAACAAAAAAATTCCCATCTCCATGCATTTGCTGGAGATATGTAAATTTTCGGCCGAATCTCCAGGCACCGCCTTGATGGCAATCCTTCTTTTTGCAATAAGCTCTCTCGTATTGCTGTTCCTTTCTATTCTTGCGAATAAAAAGCTAACCAGGATTATCATTCTTTTTCTCTCCGTTGTCTGTTCTTTCCTATCCATTTGCTACATCTCGTTACAGCATTTTGAATTAAAGGCGGTCTCTTTGGGGTTCCTTTTGTACAGTGCTGCATGCATGATGAAGACGATATTCTTGTTAAAAAATATTAGAAAAATAAGGGCCGATCAGAAGGTCAGCAATTTAGAGGATCCATACATTGGCTGTCGCCATCGGACGGCTCTTAGTTATTGACAAATGCTTGTATTTATAAAGCGAGCCTAGTGGCTCATGTGAAATGAAAGTTGAAGTTTACAAAATTCAAATTTAAATCGGATATTTTAAACCTCACACTTTAAGCACAAAGAGTTGACCTACTATTGGACTCTCCTCCATGCGTCGTTTCAGACTCCGATGATAAAGGTGGCCATCTCTCGCTAGTTTATCGGCTACAAATGCGCCTCATTAATACCCTACTAGTTCTTTTATTTCTAGTGACAGTCATTATTGGAGTATGCAGATGTCCACCGACTTCCCCTGCTGCAGGCTCCGCCAAGGAAGCCACTCCATCCGCTCCAAAAGACGCGGCTCCCAAGGAAGCCAAGGCAGCTGCTCCTGATGCTAGTGCCAAAAAAGAGGCAACTCCCTCTACCGATGCTAAGAAAGAGACCAAGGAGGCAGCCCCAGCTGTAAAGGAAAGCGCAAAGCCTTCTTCTTCTTCTTCTGCGGCACTAAAACCATCATCGTCGTCGTCTTCGTCCTCATCATCAGCATCAAAGTCCTCTGCGGCAAAGCCTAGTCCAACATCTTCTAGCTCCGCCTCAAAATCGAGCACTACGGGTTCTTCTTCCGCATCCAAATCAACCACGTCTTCTAGTTCTTCCGCATCCAAGTCAAGCTCTTCTTCGAGTTCTTCCGCATCGAAAAAACCAAAAACAACAACCACGTCGATATCCAAGCCTCCTAAGACAACAACCTCTTCAACAGTCTCAAAAACAACTTTGCCCAAAACTTCTACAGCGTCAGGAAGTCAATCGTCAGCGGGAAAGTCTTCTGCATCAAAATCATCATCTACATCTACATCTACATCTTCAGCCTCCCAACTAAAGACATCAACGCCCATAACAAAAAATGCTACTTCATTATCGAAGGCGATTCCGACTACAACGAATACCCTCTCAAATGCAACACTGGCAACTAAGAATGCTTCCTCAACCGCTTTGCATACATCTTTGAACGCTTCTGAAAGCTCCTCCGCCACCCATAAAGCCAAGATTGGAACGGTAAACTCCACCATGGGAACGGTAAACTCCACCAGGGGAACGGTAAACTCCACCATGGGAACGGTAAACTCCACCAGGGGAACGGTAAACTCCACCATGGGAACGGTAAACTCCACCACGGGAGCTGTAAATTCCTCGACGGGAGCTATACCTACCGTCGTGGCTGGGTCTGCTCTTGCTGTTGCTGCTGCCGCTGCTGCCGGTGGTGCTTCTGCGCACGAAAAGAGCTCGGCATCGTCTCTCAATACTACAACGTCGCTTAATACCACTTCGTCTATGGGCACAACTGGACAAATATCTAGTACACCCTCATTTAATGCATCGACACCTAATACTACTCTACATAGTAACGGGTCTTATGGCGCAAATACGTCTCAATCCGCGCTAAATTCCTCCACGGTTGATTCAAATCGTACTCTGGCGATAAACGATACCAATTCATCAAACGGAACCTCTTCTCTTGGAGCAACGGGAATAGGATCTGTGAATAACATTTCCACTTCTGGAAGTTCGACGGCTGCCGGAAACATTAGTTCATTAGATGGATCGTCTGCCATGAATACAAGTACTGCCGGCGCATCTGCCATGAATACAAGTACTACGGACGCATCTGCCATGAATACAAGTACTACGGACGCATCTGCTATGAATCCAAGTACTGCCGGAGCTTCTGCCATAAATGCAAGTACTACGGATGCATCCTCCATGAATTCAAGCGCTGCCGGCGCATCGGCAATGCCAATTTCTTCAGATGCGACATCAAACTCGCAGGTCTCATACGGGCCACCATCGACTACGCCACCTGTTATCGCCGATAGCGTTGGTCCCTCGAATCCTCTTCCACAATACCAACAAGGTGCTACCTTTGATCAACAGCCCCCTTTTTCTACTGATCAGTTAGGAGGATCTGCTTCAGTCTCAACCCCCTATGATCAAGCTAGCACTGGTTTGATTATGGATTACGGCCAAGAACAAACCGCATACCTTTCCCCTGTTTCTGAAGATGATCAATCGAACCTCACACTAGAGAGTGATCATCCGATTTCTGTAGCTGATGAGGGTTCCCAAGTGTTTCCCGAAGGCATGATGTGGATGCCCTATGCCTCGCCCTGCCATCTGTTCGGCAAGCATCTTGGAGCGTGGGAATGCCCCTCTACTGCAGCACCTCATAATCTTTCTGTCGATCTTTCTAGCTGCCCATGCAACTGAACTGCCTTGACCGTCTATTTCGAATTCCCCGAATAAACCGCAAAATTCCAATGCTTAGTCATAATTTTTACCACGCTGAAGGTTTCTTGTATCATTTTGAGTCTTTATTTGCCGGTACTTGAATATTAAATTTTCTTCCCAGATTTACATCGGCATACGGCTTTTCCAAATTCTCGTTTCATCTCCCCTTCCTTTCACAAGGCGTATTTTCAAAGGTGCGGCACGCAGATTTCTCAACCGAATTTATCGGTCCAATCATTATGCAAACTTGCAAAGCAAGTTTAGGTTTAGCTAGCCTGTATTGCTCGTTTTGCGTGATTTCTTTTACGATTGTGAAGGCCTTCCACCCTTACTTCCCAACGGAAGATATTTCGAACATTGGGGTTCTTTTTCAGCGTTATTTCCCGTTTTTGACGCACTGCAACCTCCTCGTTATCCTCTAGCGCCACGGCGAAACGCCTAAATAAATTTCTAAACCAGACGTTCCAAGTATTGATCGGTGCACTCGACAGATTTCTTGGCAAGATAAATGGGACACATTTAATGATTGCTAACTTTCTCAAGTCGAGTGCCTTTTTTAGGATGCAAATAAAAGTCTTTCCTTCATGTATCGATCTGAGTACCTTGAAGATCCAAGAAAGCTTGCATTTCGCTGAATTGGGCATATGGAAACTTTTGGTGAAAATCAAAGTGCTTTGTAGATGGCACCTTCCCGGCTTTCATTTGCATGGTCAGAAATATCGATGCAATTTTCCCAATTGTGCAGCCTGCATAATTAGGGGAGTGGCCGTACACGCTGATGGAATATTTTCCAAAAACAGCACCAAATTAACTTGAAGGCTAACTGCCAAACGTGAACGGAGGTGGGTTTCTTTGACGAGCCCCTTCTTTTCAATTGGTACCCTCCTAACTGGCAAATTTACGACAAAGAATGAGGCAGCGATGTAGCGCTAAAGCTAGACGCCAAAGGCCATGCATCCTATTTTCACACGAAACTAGGATTGCCACGAGAAACGCTTTTTCATTTACACAATGTGCATATCCACATTTAGCAAACACAGATGGTTTTCACTTTGAGGGACACATGAGCTTATTAGGGTGGTTGTCGTCACTATCTTGGCCTCCGGCAAAATTATCGAACACCATAATTAGTGTCGACCTAAATTCCGACCTGGTTGAAAGCACAACAACAAAAAGCAACTGACGGCTATACTTTACGATGGGGACATCCATCAACCAAGACTGCATGTCAACGCCAGCATTAAGGATTAAATCAACAAATCTCAAACCGGGAATGGAGCCTCAAAATTTCAGGTAATTTATTTCGCCCGCTTCGGTACATTAAGGGGCGCACCAATGTTTGTGCCTCGAAGCTTGACGCCGAGGACACGCTCGATCTTTGCCAAGATGGTAGGATTGTATAGTCCCTTTCCCAGTTCATAATCATGGATAATGTCTGGCTTCTCAAAGATTTTCTAAAGAAAGCAAAATGCGCATACCGTTGCAAGCTCCTTCTGTGTCAATGGGATCGCTTGTCTTGCCCGCATGATTGCCCTTCCTGAGAATAAGAGAAAAGGAACAGAAAGTTCAAAACAACAAAATTGAAAAGACTAAAAACGGGTCTTTTCAGAACAGCGAAGCAAAAGAAAAACCAGATACAAAACGGATGTAAAATAACACATACCGACATCGTGTGAAATCGTTCTGGGCAATATAATTTCGTCAGACTCGGCTATGTGGCGCTGCTCTGCCGAGGGTGTCGAGGCACTAGGCCTATTGGTGCCCGCATTGTCTACGATAAACGCACACATAATTACATCTCTTTGAAATTTCCACGGGAGACCCCTTAGCAAGTGCCTCATTCACGGCCTTGGTCGAGTGCTGCGGAGGGAGCTTTTTCTTGCGCAGAACGGTGACCTTTTCCCAATCGCTGGTGTCCATGGAAAATTAATCGTATGATTAATAATTTGCAATTAAAAGTTTGCCGTCAATTGGTTTTACGGTTGCAATTAAAAGTTTGCCGTCAATCGGGTTTACCACTGCAATTAAATGTTCATTTAAATACCCTTTAATTCCCAACTAACCCTTAACGGTATGAGCACCGATTTTGATAAGGGTCGTGTCTACTTTGCCGACATGATGAAGATGGGCGGGTCTGCCTCGCCCGCATCCATCGAAGCGCGGGCTGAAGCTGCAAAGCTAAAATTCCGCCGCTTTTTGGAACACTTTACCAATATGGAGGGCGAGTTCGTGTATCGCGAGCAGCTCCGGAAAAACGCCCAGATGCGGCGATATTTTCTTCCAGTGGAGATTGAGCATCTTATCGGCTATGACGAGACGCTAGCAATGGCTCTGCAGAGCAATCCAGTCGAAAATATTGAGGCTTTTGAGGCGGCTGCCAAGGAAATAGCTGCTGCGGCGGCGCAGGACGATGCTCCAGTGTACGTTCAAATTGAAATCAGGTCTCAAAGCATGGAGCCTATGGGGCTACGCACCTTGGAGGTGGGATTTGTGTTATACTTTACCTTGCAGGCATCTAAAATAGGAAAGCTCGTCCGTATTGCGGGAATCATAGTAACGGCCTCTGCACCGATGGCGCGACCTATTTCACTGACCATTGCCTGTAAAGTGTGTCTGGTTATGCGAACCATAACTACAGGAATAGCATCGCTCAACGGTACGCAAGCACTACCGCGGACATGTCCAACAGGGTCCGCCTGTGGGCTCGATCCTTGGGTGGTTTTCCCAGAGCGCTCCAGTTGCGTCGATCAGCAGTCTCTCAAGCTACAAGAGCTGCCCGAAAGTGTGCCAGTTGGCGAGCTTCCACGCCACATTTTGGTGATCGCAGATCGCGAACATGTAGGCAAGACAGCACCAGGGAAGCGCGTACTGATAACGGGGATCTATTGCACCTCTGGAGCTCCAAAGGGAGGCGGTGTTGCCCTTCGCTTTCCGTTTGTCAAGGTGGTGGGGATGGAGCCAATTCAGGGCGGTGGTGACAGCCATTCTGTACCCTCTCCCCTGTGGACAACAGATGTCGAAGCAGAAGCACGACGGATGGTTGCCTTTTCGCGAACGCCGAACATCTATGAACACATCTCACGTTCGATTGCGCCATCGCTTTTTGGACACGAAGAGATCAAAAAAAGCATTGCATGTCTGTTATTTGGTGGCACACGCAAATCGCTACCGGATCGCATGCGCATTCGTGGAGATATCAATGTGCTGATTTTGGGAGATCCCGGAACAGCCAAATCGCAGTTGCTAAAAGTTGTGGAGCGAATTGCGCCCATTGCCATCTACACGTCCGGGAAAGGATCGTCTGCAGCTGGTCTGACGGCCACTGTGGTGCGAGATACGCAGCATCAGGGGAGTGGGGAGTTCTACCTTGAAGGTGGTGCAATGGTTCTTGCAGATGGTGGCATTGTGTGCATCGACGAATTTGATAAGATGCGTGAAGAAGACCGCGTTGCCATCCATGAGGCAATGGAGCAGCAGACAATTTCGATTGCCAAGGCGGGCATTACCACCATCCTCAATGCGCGCACATCAGTGCTTGCTGCCGCTAATCCTGCGTTTGGCCGATACGACGAGACGCGTGCCCCTGGAGAGGTAACATGGCACAAAATGCTTCAAGTCGCACCACATGAAATTCGTTTCGATTTTCAAGCGCTTCACCTTTATTGTCTTCTCCCTGCTTTTGTGGATGTGATTTTTTATCCCTAGAATATCGACTTTTCGACCACAATTTTGTCGCGTTTTGACATGATATTCATCGTGAAGGATGAACACTCCGTCTCTCGTGATACGACGCTAGCACGGCATGTGGTGGGGATACACATGACGGCAACAGGCTCCGGGTCTGCCCCTATGGAGATGGCCGAGGAGGAAGCCTATGGAGACCCTTCTTCTGAACTGGTCGAACCAGAATTTCTTCGCTCGTATATTGCTTTTTGTCGGGCGTAAGTTTGCTTTTTCACGGTAGGAGGTGCACCCCAAGGCTTTCGCAAGGCGCAGCTGCACTACTGATAGACTACTATGTGCGCATGCGCTCTGAAGTCCACGAAATGGAGGTGGCCATGGAGGAGCGGTCCTCCATCCCTATCACAGTGCGCCAGTTGGAGGCAATTGTACGTATTGCCGAATCTTTGGCAAAAATGGAGCTTTTAGATAGAGCCACGGAGGCGCATGTTAGCGAGGCAATCCGCCTCTTCCGAATCTCAACTTTGAATGCTGTGCATGCTGGCCATGGTGGCGAAGCGATGCCGGCCACTCTTATTGCGGAAATTGAGCGTGTCGAGCGAGCCATCAAACAGAGACTTCCGCTTGGCTCGTCCGTCGCCTATGCCTCGCTTTTACGAGAGCTTGTTTCGGTGAAGCGATTTTCAGAGCCAGCAGTGCTGCGTGCAATTGATGCCCTTGTGGCGCAAGAAACGCTGCTTTGGCGTACCCAGCGTCGTGTGATCGTGCGAGCCAACCCCTGATCTCCGATAAAGCCTAATGAATTTTATCGCTGTCAATTGTAATTAATATCCAACCGGCTACCAGTGGGATGTCCGATCTCCTTATAGCTGGCAGGATTTGTCGTAATCAGCGCGGCAAAGTGTGCAGTGCTTTCAACATTTAGCGAATTTTGCTGTGGTACCTTTGCAGAAAACTCGAGCGAATGTGAGCGCTCTATTCTCAACTCAATCAAGAGGCCTTTGAAGTCTCAAAAAGACCAGCGTAAAATTTATAGGTATCAATAGGACCCCGCACAAACCGAAAATTGCCGAAAGCACACTATAAAGCTTCATTCATACCACTTATGCACTCATAGGTAAGACGCCATGTCTACGATGCCCATATTCTGCGACTGGCCTCTTTTGAGCGGAGATGATTCCTCACAATCTGAAGTGACCGATGCTTTGTTTTCATTCGATCCAAAATTTAGGGTTTCAATCCGCTTTCTTCAACGTGTGACGCATGCGAGTCAACACTTAAAAGACTCACTTCGTATGGCCCCGATTATCGGTTTTGCACGCCCAGCAACACCGGATCCAGAGGGGTAAAATCCAGCCCTAATCTAACTAGAGCTGGTCCAAAATGTATTTCAAATATTCTGTACATTATGCGTGCAGTAGATGCGACTGCTGTCTCGCAGCCTTTGCTTGCTCACTTCAAGTAAATCTTGAACCCAAATCGGATCTGACCCAGTATGAGCATAGGGTTAGGGTCAAGCTTAGGATCAAGTTTTCTGGAACCTGGAACGAATGGCTAGCATCTATCGAAGTTTCTGTGACGCTTGATCGTGCATCATGTCATCGCCAGGGAGCCTTTATTTTTTGGGTGCTATTATAATTCTAACCCTAAATTTCAAAGCATAAATAACAAGCCAAGAATGCAAATGCTAGAAGTAACCTCCAAAATCAGGAAAAGTCATTGATCTCTAAACGCCCAAACTTGACTTCCGATGGATGAATTTTTTTATTGCATTACGAAACAAACGCAATCAGAGGTTGGGCTTTTATGTGCAAACTTGGGCATATTTATGCTTTTTGTATGTGATGCATCAGTAATCAAGACACTTTTGATGATCTTAAAGCCCATTTTGGGGCGATTTTAGACATCCAGAAGCAAAAGGAAAGTGTAAGATTTGTAAGCCATGTTTTGGGCCACCCAGATCTTGTTAACAACATGGAAATGAGAACAAACAACTACGTAGCTTAGATTGCCCAGGTGATTTTCCAGCCCTCGAGATAAAACTGTACACTGGACATTGAAATAAATAAGTCGACCATTATGGCCCACACCCTATCCTGTTGCTAGTACGAGAAAGAATCAAAATGCAAAAGGCTGTCATTGTCAAGGCATCGGGAAGACAGATGTTATCTTCTAGAATAAATATGCCGTAATAAAAGCGCATTTATGGCCACTCTGGAGAGACCAGACCAACAACCCCACTTATTTAGCTACGCGTTCATTTCATGGCAATAGCCGTTATCAGCCTGGCTACCGTGATAGCGACTCTCATATTCCAAACATTTCATTTTGGAAACAAACATGCATTTGCATTTGATTGGTCTACTTTCATGCGTTAAGATATGTTTTATTGTGGCAGTGGTTAGCTTTCCGGACGTTAATTTGCCACATCGTTATTTAGTAAATTTGACCTTCTGATTGGATGCAAAAGTCTCTGTGCAAAATGACCTATAAATGTTGGCTTTTTTTAAAAAACTTTTTGCCTCGATGAATATCCAAAATTTTCGATTCCTCATAGCTCTTAGTGCTCTCATTGCATTTCTTCTTGTTCCAAAAATTTATGCTGTTCAAGAAGACACTGGTAAAGACAGCCATACATATCAACCGGTAAATAACTCTGGTGGACAAGAAAACAGCCCAACTGGTTATAAAAATGCATTGATGGGCAAGCTTTTTGAAATGTGGAAATCTCTTTGTAACAATCCTGCAATTTCTTATTTAATGAAAGGACTTTTTGCTTATTGGAATCTTGAGCTTCTAGAAAATCAGAACCTATTCTTAAAAGTGCAAACTAGGTACTCTCCGCAAAATGGCTCCAAACTTCAGAGCTTATTTTATCATCTTGATAATTTTCTAATTAATACAAAGTCTGCTTATGAAAAGTATTACTGGATAGTTGAAAGCATCATGTGTACACAAATAGGCCTATACGATGGTTCTTTGGCTTACTATGTTGTCCCCTGCTATTTCGTTTTGTTATCCAGTTTCTGGCTGGGAGATTTTAAATATTCGTTAAATTTTCAAACCTTGATTTCTCGCTTCTTCAACATTTACATTTTGATAGTTTATTCCAGAAATTCCAAAAACACTGAAACCACCATCAAGACTTGGTTAAATCGTATATTTGGAGGTTCATTAATTTTATATTATGCTGCCTTTATCTCTCTCATATACCAATTTCAAACTGAAGATCTTATTAGCGGTTTATTTGTCATCATCGGCTTTATGAACACCTGTTTTTCAATAAGTTATATAATAGGGTCAAATAAGGAATCTGAATCTAATAAAAAAAAGAAGGAATCTAAGCATAATGAAAAGGAAAATGCTGATGCTCCTATGAAGACTACTGATCCTCAGAATAGTGATAGTACTGTTACTATTCCCGGTCAGCCTCCTTTTGCGGAGACTGACCTTTCTACCGAGGAAGAACCCACAGATGAGTTAGGGCCTGGGTTTTTTCAGACTGATTTTAAATCCTAAACCCTAACCCTGATAGTAGTTTTTATTAGTAATCACCCGATAAGTAAAAAATAAAGCAGACCATTTTTATGGTTATAATGAACTCAGAAATCCATTACATCATTAAATAAGACTTATTTGTTGGGTAGATGACACTAATATTCTGTACATTCCTTTTGGTATTTCAATTTTGAAATGGCAAGTGCACACCTGGGAATCAAAGGCTTGCGCATATGGAAAAGTCCGTTTAGGATCAACTTTATTTAGATGCAAAAATAGATCGGAAATGGTCCTATGCGGAGGAGCTATGTTTATTTACGGCTAGATCCATTTAGGGAATTCAAGACACGAACAGGCTTCGTGTGCAAAATTCGCCTATTGACCAGTCCAAAAATAGTATCGCGAAAAGAAGCACGCTTTTCAAATAGGGTCAAAGTGCTTGCACAAATAGTGATTTGTAGTCCTAAATAGAGTTCACAACAAGATAGACGCTCCACCCCCAAAAGCCGTCAGGGATTCTGCTTGCTGTGTTTATCTAGTGGACCAATCTAGCTGAAAGAACGGAAAAAACTTTCTCCTGGGCACCTGGTAATTTATTAATCAATTTAACCCAAATGGAGGCCTTCCGAAATTCATTCATATTTGGTGTTTTTTTCTGTTGAGAAAAGAATGTTTCCAGGCCCCATATGGGCATGGAAAGCATTGCATTTATGAAGAAATGATCCTTTAAAGAGCATCCATATTCATCGCCACATTTCATATGTTGTTGAAAAGACATGTTCCCATTCTGGCATATGCAGGAACGGATTTTCTGCGTCGAAAGCTCTCCATTTATATCGGCTGAGAAACAGCCACTCGTACGTGTTATTAATAATAAAATCTCTATCGACGAAAAGTGTTCAACTTGATCCTGAATTCTGTAAATTTTATTTACAAGCCGTCAAAAGGCCCAGAAGCGCAGCGTTTCATCCGCACCGCATGATAGGAGCTTGTGTGGAATGGTTGCCAAATGCAAAACTCGGCCAGAGTGGGCAGGGGATATCCTTTGGACCTCTCTCAACTGATGAAGAGGCGAATATTCCCAAATGCTGATATCTGCGACATTGGTTGTTCGTTCGTTTTCAGCAGCTGCCTCGTATCCGTGTGCAACTGCGAGGAGATTTCCCTGCCCATACGGCGGGGAAAGCCATACTAAATGGGTTATCTGCGAGCCGGTATCTTTTTCGTAAAGTAGTGCTCCAGTTGTGCTGGCATCCCACAAGGCGATTCTGCGGTCAGATGTTCCGCCCCCAGAAGCAAGAATAGAATTGTCCAGCCAATTTAAGGCCTAAATCTTTAGCAAAGGTCGTTTCGTTACCTTAACAGCTGCCGAATGGTGAGAAATCTTGAACAGTGCACGTCCAATCCCAAGAGAATTAGCGCAAAGCATCCTCAGATCCCAAATTCCGATCGTATTGTCGTTTGACCCAGATGCAAGCAACGAGCGATTGGGGGCCAATGACAATCCACATATTTCTTGGCAATGTATTGTGGAAGATAGACGAGACGCAGGCCTATTGGTCCGAAGATCAAAAAGAAGGACTTCTCCTGTCTCGGACCCGCTGAAAATGAGATTTTCGTTTAAAGTGGCCAGGGAAATGATCCTGGAGCTGGTCGTTTGCCATTCACAAAGGATTTGGACGGTGGAGGTGTCCCAAACGCGAATCCCTCCACCCTGCGCTCCGCTTGCCAATAGCCTTGAATTTTGTGGCGAGATAAATTTCACCGAAGTGACCATGTGGCGATTGTACCTTTCCATCTGGCAGAGGGCCTTGTTATCTGGATTGTAAATGTAAATCGAGGAAAGAAGCGCAACGGCTATTCTTGAGCATCCGTCGTATTCACACCAGTCAATTGGGGATGAATAAAAATCGTCAATCAGCCCGGGGGCATCTAGAATCAGCTCGGGGCATTCCCCCACATTTTCGGTTTGCATGGCATTCCCATTGGGAAAAGTTACCCTTCGGACTGGAGGCGCCCGCCTCCAGTCGGTATTTCCTCTAAGAAGAGGAGGAGGATATTGACTGGGATGAATATTGGAGTCAATCATTCATCGTTTAATTTTATCGATGTCACGTCAGAAGTAATATGGAGTTCACAGTTGGCTTCATCTCGCGCACCAATAAAAAACGGGTGCTTTATTCAAACTCAATTTGACAGCAAACTTTAAATTTGAATTTTAAATTTGGTATGCGTCTGGTTAGCCCTAATCCGTGGGCAACTCACAGGAGCATATGGACAATGGGGGTCGTTTGAAACCCCAAATCGACGCAATTTTATCTTTGCGCTGGTGTATTTCAAAGAAAGCTCAAATTTTGGTTACAGATTCTTTTAATTTCTTTACCCGCTCATTGTCAGTCATGTCGATTTCCTCATTGCACCGTGGAGTTGGAGCAACTAAAGTCAAATGGGATATATTTAGAGGCGCTTGGACCGCCATAACCTTCCTGTGGCTGCAAGGTGCCAAACCCAGGAAAGTTGTATACTTGCAAAAATTTTCCGCAAGACGGTCCACAGGAGCTGGCGGGTTGAGTTGGGCCATTAATTGTGATATCGGCGCAATCCATGTAATACTCGCGGTTTCCAACCGCGTTAACCCACGCCCAGGAAAAGGTGCATTTTGAACACGGCGGTGCATCATCCGGAATTTTTACCGGCCAGGTATAGGATGAGTCTGGACATCCATATCTATACTCTGCAATAAGATAAAAATGGATGTCGTGGTCATAAGAAAGAGCAAATTGGCAAAGACCGCCGTGATGGCGGGCAGATCCTGTGAATGAAACATTGACGGTGTCCCCCGGATTGAAAGAGGCGACTGGACTTCCCGGAGGTTTTCCCTTGCACATAACCATTTCCTTAAGAGGCGCCATAAGATCATAGTCAACAGGCTTGTATAGATCGTTCTTGGTGTATCCGCGAGAAGGAGGAAATGCCATGATCATGTGAGAGGAAATTGTTGCGCTACACAACAGTACCATCAATAAGATCTCCGGAATCATGGAAGAAAATGATTCATTAATTGTCCTTTTATAGCAGGTACTGGAAATGGGGAGCATCAATCAAGATCATATGTCCATAAAGGGAATTTCTTTTGAAACCCCGACTTGAGCATTTTCAAAAGCCGAGTGTATTGGATGCACCTACTGGCCATTGGATACTTAATTTTTAATCAAAATAAATTAGCTCATCATCTGCCACATATCTGGGCATGATGTTAACTAATCGCTCAGCTGGGGCTCAATAGACAACGAGGCTTTTCTCCTGTTTTCAAAATAAGGGGATATCCTTCTTCTTTTAACCTCGCCTTCAGGAGCAGTCGGAACGGCTTTATCGGCAGCATTAAAATTGTGGTGTTTGGACACCGGGCTTTGGGCTTCAACAAATTCGGGTTGAAGTAGCATGTTTTCCTTGTCACTATTTCCTGTGTCCAGATTTCGCTTGTCAATAGCTTCGTTCTTCATGATTGAAATGGCTGGCTTCAATGACAGCCTTGTCAGCCACGGAAGCTTGGTGGGTTTCTTTTTCTCTAAAGGCTCTTTTAAAACTTGGACGCCAAAAACATGCGCCTCCGTTGGAGCTGGCAAAATATTCAGTGTCTTTTTTGTGATCGGGCAAATTGCCCCGAGAGCAATCCCAGAAGCAATTTTGGGGTCCGTAATTGGCGGGCCAAGAAATTCCAGTCGACGCACCGGAAAGGGCCATTCTTCAAATGAGGAAGGCACAAACTCGGCGTCATTTGTGCAAAGGATATTGGCGAGATCCTGGGGGATCCAAGAGCTTGCCGAAAGGGCAGCTCCGATCGGCTCCAGGGTAACAATGGATTGCTTGCAAGGATCCCACACTCTTTGATGAGAAAAGGTCAAATCTGCCAAAATAAAGCCTTTTATGTAGGCCTCAATTGCCTGTTCGTCATAGTTGCTGGTGGGACTCCTTAGCGCCTTAAAAATAGCATCAATGGACCGGTTTGTCTGCATCAGGCGTATGGCCGTTCCCATGCCGACTTTTGGAAGAGAGGCCAAATAATCACACCCAGAAAGGATGCAGGTTTGCCGAAACTGAAGATGGGAAAAGCCCTTGAACGAGGCGACTTTTGCAATGTCTTCTAGTTGAATCAAATCTCCAGTCCCATCTGCGCCAAGCTTGAAGATCACCTAAAATCGTTACCACGCAGCTTTTGATACTTGGGGGCAGCCAAAAAGAAGCATATCTGAATCTTCACTGACCACAGCATCTGCAAATCCATTTTTGACAAGAAAGGCCATTTGAGCATCGGCCTCATATGGCGCCACAATGTAGGCTATTTTTCTTGCTTGCAGCTCCACCGTAAGCTGGGCAACCATTTCAGGCGTCACATCGATGCAGCGATTGGCATATTCCCACGCCATACGACGATCTTTGCTTTTCAGTGCGCGAGTGACGACCTTTCTTGCCTCTTCCCTTTTTCTAAACATAAGCGAAAAGATTGGCTTACGATTTCCGCTCGGCCTCTTGGCCAGCCTTCATGGGCAAAGGACCTCCATCAAAAACAAAAATCGGAGTCACTCCAGCATCAAGAAACATGGAAAGCCTTTTAATGCAATATGTGACATGCGAGCTAACATCCTTGCCCTCGAAAATGGCTAGACCTGACCCATATACGCCCTTGTGTATCCAAGAGTAGCCGTCAATGGCAACGGTCTTTCCGGAAAAATCCCGCAAGTGCGTTTTTTTGGTGATGGGCTTCAATAATGGCAACAACCCAGAGATTCCCATAAAATTTTACATTAGGGTTGAATGGTTGAATCAATCATGCATCAGTCGCTTTTCCTTTTTGAATATCAATGAAAGAACCCTCCTCGCCATTGGCTTTGCATGGACATCCCTGTTTGGATTTGCAAACTGATTTTGGTGCAAAGGAATCAGAGGTCGTCGCGCTTTCACCTCCGATTTCAATTATCCACTCATCCGACAACGGGGAATGTTCTACTTTTTCTCCAAGACAGCTTCTCAAGAGGGAGTTGATAAAAACGGCGTTTATTCTGGCCCTTACGTTTCTCTGTGTATATCTAATGATGCTGGAAATGGTGTTTATTGACAATCGATCGCTTGATTATGTTTATGGCGTCACGCTACCATCCCAGTGGCTATCCTTTGCTGAAGCAGTGGCAAAGGTAAATGCAGCCACTAATGACGAAGGCCCATTTCCAATTGCATTGGTAAGGCCTAGCTTTGGTGGCGTTGGATACGAAACGGTTTTTAATTCATTTCCTTCTGAAATGAATATTTCCTCCGTGTACAATGGAGGCATCCTGCTTCCAATGGATGTTGTTATCAGCACAACGCAAAATATGTACATCGAATGGCGTGTGGTGGCCGATACTCTTGCTGCTATCCTGCTTGTGCTTACAATGGTCTTTATACTTGCGGTTCCTTTTCTTTGGAGACGGAAGGTTAAAGAAAATTTCGTTTCAAGCCTCGTTTTGTTTAGAAGGCTCGCGGCCGTTATCGGATTGAATTATTTTTTCAGGTATTTAGACTGCTATTTTTCCCGTTAGAGGCCTTGTGTTGGGCTTGACAATTCTGCCACCGGGATCCCTTGCTTGTGTGCCAAAGCTACGCTACACGTTGTGGGAGAAGCTCATGGCGCCTATTCTGCTAATGGCTGGCTTTGAGGTGTGTTGCTACGATTTCATGTACTCTGGACATACGTCACTTACCACTGTGTTGGTGTGGTTCTGGATCTTATACTTTCCCGGCGTGTTTGTCAACTTTAAACCGCGCAGGGTAGTTATTACGCTGTGCGTGGGGCTTTTTGGCGCCCTATTGGTTTTTTTGATGATTTTCTCATTGACCATTTCTCGGCTTCACTATTCCATTGACGTCGCGCTCGGGCTGTTTATTGGCTCTGCCGCGTTTTGGTCGTGGCATACTACACTTTGTTTGTATCAATACCAGCGAATGCTAAACATCGAAGAGCCCGGTAGGAACCGCGCATTCAACTGGATTGTTAGATTGGTTGGCTGGATGGATGGGATCGAAAAAGAGCTTCTACCATCTTGCCTTCCACAAGATAATATTACAACTCAAGAGCGGTTTATTATTCACGTAGCAGGCGAAAAGGAGCTGCGCGCAATTGCCAATTCATCGGCTACGTCAAGAATGGCATCAAGTGCAAAGTCGAGATCCTCTTTGGAGTGATGGCTTGTCATACAAAATCTGGCTCGACACTGGTTGATTGGCGTTGCCGGATATCCCACCACAACCACAGCAACTCCTTTATCGAGCAGACGGCGCGAAAATGCTCTATACATTGAAAAACGTCTGTATCTTACGCCATCGTTGTTGGCTGGAATATCAACATCGGGACGACAGGGGAACCAATTGCACCTCCGACAACCAGTCCAGATGCTATCAGCGCATCCCTAAAATACTTTGAATTTTTGAAAAGCGAATAAATGCGGTCTTTGCCTTCTTTTCCATCCACCAAAGCAAGGGCCTTTAAAATATGCTGGCAAACCGGAGGTGCAAGCGGTTCGCAATATGCATATGAATGTCCAAATGCTCGGAGATAGTCAACCAGCTCCTAATACAATATTGGGAAAAGTGCACTGCGCATACTTTTTTTCCAGCTATGTAGCCACCGGAAGCTCCAAAGCTCTTGGTAAAGGTCCCCATTAAAATGTCTATTTTTTTGGTGTCAACGCCGAACCAGTCACAAATTCCCCTTCCATGCGGACCGACTGCGCCAATCGAATGGGCCTCGTCCAGGAACAAGTAAAATTTGTACTTTTCCTTCAATTGCACAATTGCAGGGAGAGGTGCAAAATGCCCCTCCATTGAATATAGTCCCTCAATGACAACGATGATTTTGTTCCACGGGCGTCTTGTCTTTGGCTGTCCCTTAACTATGACGTCCCTCAACAGTCGCTCCAAATCAGCGGTATCTGCAGTTATTTCTAACATCAGCAAAATTTACCGTTATGGCGGAAGACGCGGATAAGAGATCCAGATAAGCGGGCCCCAAATATTAAAGAGGAATGATTGAGTTCATCCGAAATGATGATCGTTCCTGGCCCTTCGGCGAGCACAGGCAAGGATGTGGAGTTTGTGGCAAATCCCATGGCGCAGACCATTGCCGCTTCAACGCTAAGAAATTTAGCGACCGATTCTTCCAATTCTTGCAGAAGCGGAGATTTTCCCAAATCAAGAATCGGGGCGCCTATGGAAACGCCGTATTTTGACAGCGAACTAAGCGCTGCCGATTGGCACGGCCCTTCAGGCTGCGAAAACCCGAGGTAGTTGTAGGATGCCAAATTGATACATGAGCGGCTCTCTCCGGTGTACCTGTGATGGGAACAACATATTCTTACTCAAAAGTATCATTGTAATCCTTTGATTTTCGAATCAGGATGTTGATCATCGAGCTTGGAACGCCTGTGATTGGTCTGTTCCAGCAGTCTCTAATGCGATGGTAGATTCTTCGTATGTAAATGGATTCAAAGTCGCTTGTAAGCGGCGCTATCCCATTGCTGACTCTCAAATGCGAAAAGTCGTTTGGATAAACAAGCTTGGCAATAAGATCCCTAACATGGGCAACAAGCGTCAGTATGAAATAAATAAGATATGTCGATATAAGCAAGCGTACAGACACGCGTTCAGAAAAATCCGTGTGCTTTGAATCGTCTGTGGGTGCTGGCATTGAGTAACTAGAGAAACATGTCCAAATTTAGACATAGTAACTGGCTGGCCAGTGATAGCATTTAGATTAATTTTAATAAATTTTGGAAAGGCAATTATTAATACTGCATTGCGCTTCATTATGGAGCAGTATCGCAAAGTGCAGGAAGGTACGGCATATTGTGGGTTTTCTGATCCAGATCTATCGCATGCAATTAGCGCTCGGCAAAAATTGGAAATACAGCTGCAAGAGAACGACGCAGTGCAAAAGGTTCGAGTATCAAATAATTTTTCTTCGCAGGAGCTGGAGGCGTGTGAATCCACCGAGAATGTGTTCAAACTCAATTGCGGCATATTGTTTCCGGTTTTAATTTGCGAGGCAAAGGAAAATGTGTCGAAACGCCTCGAATTCATCACAGCCGAGGCTAAAAAAAGCGACCAGCAAATCTGCAAGCTGGAAAAGCGGAGAGACGAGTTGGAGGCGCAAATGGAAATGGAAAGGGTTCAATTTTTAATATTTCTAACCCTAGAACGCAAACAAATAAATTTTACTTCCTGTTTGATAAACCAAATTTGGAGTTGCATTTTACGGGCAGGGGTGGCTTTTTATAAACCTGACCGACCATGTCTTCCGTACTCACGTTCCCCGCCGATTTTCCCGTCCTCAATGAGCATCTGTCAACGCGCAGTTTTATCGAGTTTACTGGAAAACCATCATCAGCTGACGTCGAGGTCCTGAAAAGCCTTGGAGCGTCTCCCGTCGATGCCAAGCTGTATCCGCATGTGGCTCGCTGGGCTCGCTGTGTTGCCTTTAACGTGGAGAAAAAGTCGATTTGCAATTCTCAATGCGAAATTGCCAATCTGATTCTTAAAACAGCCAGTGTTTCCGTTTCCTCGTCAAAGGCGAATGACGATGATGTTGATCTGTTTGGATCTGACGAAGAGGAAGATGCCGAGGCCGAGGCATTGAAGGCCAAGCGCCTCGCAGAATACAATGCCAAAAAAGCAGCAAAGCCTGTCGTCATTGCCAAGTCGCTGGTCACCATGGATGTGAAGCCATGGGAAGATACCACGGATTTGGTGGAAATGGAGAAATGCATTCGCGAAATAGAGATGGACGGTCTTGTTTGGGGATCCTCAAAACTGGTTCCCATTGGATATGGAATTCGCAAGCTTCAAATTTCCTGTGCAATCGAAGATGCAAAAGTAAGCATGGATTCTGTGGAAGAGCTGATCGTGGGATTTGAAGACCTCGTGCAGTCGATCGACATCGTTTCGTTCAACAAGCTCTAAATCCATCCAATAAACCATTAGCATCTAAAATCCAATTTGCAGGCCATTGCAAGTTAAATTTATTGATGTAAAGCCTCAATGTTGGCCGACTTGGGCGGTGCATCTTGGAACACTGTTTCCGATGCAGAGGACGAGGTTTTCAGATAAGATAACTCGGAGGAGAGTGAATTTTCAAGCGCATATAGAAGCGAGATTTTGGCGTCCACCTTTCGTGCTAGAAGCTCTGCAAGAAGCGCCAACGACTGGCGTGTTTTCTTTTCCTCTTCGGTCAATTGAGTATCCACAAGTGATGGGAATGCGGAAACAATTTGGGAGACAACTTCGTCTTGGTTCGAGAGGTCCTGCTTGAGGGTGGAAAGCGCCATTTTCGCGGCCTGAGCGCCAACGTCCGGGTGAACTGCAGAGGAGAGCGTGGCGACAAGCGCTGCAATTGGATTGTTTGATGAACTTGCCAGGGAGTTTGAAAAAAGCTCAAAAGAGGCTGTTTTTTCGGCCTGCATGTCCGGGAGCGTGATGAACTTCCTTATGCATTCGCTTGAAGACCGAGTCTGGACGTGTGTCGAAATACGCTCCCAAGCCTCCGGTCCGGAGGACTCTGAAGCAAACATCTCAATGCCCTCAAACAGGTATAGCAGCTCTTGGTCCGACCAGCCGCCATCTTCAGAGGATATCCCCAATTTTACAAAATCTCCACTGAAATATTGGGACGAAAACCGCCCATCGCCAAAGCAATCCATACAAAGGTTAAGCGAAGGGTCCTTCAAAGAGTGATACAATTCATCCTGTGCCATTTAGCAAATGTTTTCGTCCTACCTTGGAAAGGTTCAATCCGCAAGTGTTGCAAAAGATGTTCAATTTTGTCGACCCACATGATGGCTTGGCGTTTGCCGAGCCGGAGCGGTCCCATATGACGGGCGCTTTTACTGCTACTGGCGCCTCCTTTGGTTGTGAAGGCTCGGGCTGTATGTTTTGTTGCACAATTCTAGAATGTGCATCCTAGATGGTAAAGTCAAAGACGCACATACAGGAATCCAGTTTATGAGGCCCCACCGTTCAAGAAACGAGTGGATTTTCAATAAAGCTGCGACGTCCATCGCCAAATGCCTCCTAATGGCTGTAACAGATGTGTACACTGGTGGCGAGCCCGCTGAGGAGCGCCACGTCTGAATCACAAAATTGCGAGCGTGCCTATATTGGGATACGGTGGCCGTCTCGGCGGAATCTGTGCAAGACGGTGGAAAGAACTCTGGAAATGCTCGCTTTTCAATGCCATGGATAGAATCTAAAGAAAACCATGCTGCATACGCAGGGACAGGGTAATCCGGCACCGCTCCGGCATTTGATGGGGCATCATTTGGCTGGCTGCTTGGCGTGATGTTGGCAATATTTACAGGCTCCCTCCCGGCAAAGGATGGAACATCCGGAACACCAGAGGGCTGGGAAAAGCCGCATGAGCCATTTACAACATTTGCATTGTTATTCCCAATTGGGGCGGGCATTATTGATAATTAAATTTGACAAAAATTGGATCATGCTAATTAGTGGATGCCCCCTAAAGAGTTTAAAATTTACTCGGATTTTCAATTTGACAGCCTGAGTAGTCGAATTAGCCAAATTCGGAACAATGGGCATCTTCGTGCCGCGCCATAAGTGCAGGGTTGAGGCGATGTTTCCGCCTAAGCAAATATCGATTTTCTCGCTGAAGATGCCGCATCCGTCGTATGAACCCTCTCCCGACCATCTTTCAAGATTTCTTACTTATTTGCTGGCAAAGCCCCACAAGATCAAAAAAACCTCATCTTACCTGCTTGCCAAATTTGAAAAGTGTTATTTTAAAACTTTGGACTATGTGTAAGGAGGCGGTGTTTTTAATGTTTGTAGTGCTTGTTTCGTGACGCTAAGCATCATCGAGCATATTTTGCTGCAATTGCATCGATACATTTCGTCATTTTGCCTTCCCGTGCTTGCAATTTTGTTTTCGTGCATTTCTGCGGTCGAGTGCACTGCGCTTCAAGTAAAGGCCATCGAGACCGTATTAACCGACCACTGGCTAATTTGTAGTTTTCGTTGTTTTGCAAGATGCTTGGAAGCACCAGTCACCTGCGAAGAATGGGGTTTGTAGACCGCTATGCCAAAAACCACCATGCCACGATGGGAAATACGAGCGAAAAGCCTTCCGGAATGAGCAAAAAGAGCTCGAAATCGCTGCTTACTGCGAGGCTGCAAATTTTGTCTACCGCTGTAAATATCGACAATATTTTCAAGCCATTCAGCCCGGCCTCCATTTTCTATTCAATACTGGCCCTGATAGCCAGTTTTATTCTTCAGCCCTGCATGCCACAAATCAGAGACTCTGCGTCTTCTCTGGCTCCTTCTCCACGCATTCAGGGCGGCTTTGCGCGAAGCGCTCACCAAAAATTCTGCTCCTGCTGCCAAGGAAGCCTTTCAGAGGCTGTGAAATACCAGACAGACTCAAGCGTCTATTTGCATAAGCTTCCAATCCTACCTTCGCGTAGTATTATTGCAGCACTCTCCAAAAAGCTGTACAAGCGCTCCAAAAAGTTTCGAGGATCCATGTACATGCACCTGTTGCAACCCTCACCCTCGCCAACCCTTCTCCAGTAAACTTCGTTGAATATGTATCCCAATGTCATTCTAATTGAAGACTGGAGGTATTTATTGTCGTTCAACTCTATTTATGTAAAAATCGGGGAAATCTATTTCCCAAACGAAATGTTCGTCACGTGCAGCGGCGAATTTGATGTGGTGTTTACCTGTTTTTTCGAGCTGCTGCGAAGATCGGAAAATAACTTTATCGCGTTCATGAGGTACTTTATGCTGAGGATGAGGAATATCCAGGATTTTAAATTCCCCCAACGCAATCATCATGTGATTGAGGGAAACCTGGGCGGATCGATCTTTGAAATGCCGATTGCAAATGGCCAGGCGACACAGGAGCCCCCTGTACTGGGCCATCCTCAATTTAAGGATACAGATGCTACTTCTCGCCCCCACGAGGCATTGTCTTCTTCGTTTTCTTCTTCGCCTGCCTTTACGCTTCGATCGACAGATTTGGAACAAGAGCTTGTGGAAAAGAGATTTAAATTCATCACTTTGCTGGCTCCGATTACGATGGCGAAAATGATTTGCAAATACGCTGTTCAATTTGAGCCCTCTTTCATCACCACTCTTATTGAGGAAATTCGAATTGGAATCGACAAGATTTCTCTCGTTTCGCCAAATCGATCGCAACCCTCCGTAATTCAGATGGACGGTTCATTGCTTGCCTCTTCTTCCTTTAACAGTCTGCTTTTTGAAGCATCGATGTTTTCCATACTATGTCAATTGCTTGGCTTGATAAGGGAGATTTCCGCGCTCGTCCCTGGGCTAATCAAGACATGCATTGTGCAATTGCTGCGGTTGAGTCGACTGGAGTCTTCCCAATGCCAAAAAAATTCCCCATCTGTATGCGCTATCCCTTCGCAGGGCCAAAACTACCATACCCATGAAAAGGACAAAGGACATGAGTTGAATGGACACAGCGACGGGCACAGCGACGAGCACAGTGATGACGGAAATTCGGATCCTGCAGCTATTACGTTGCCTCGCGTCTCGAGTCCCATTTTTATGAGGGCAAACTATTCCTTCTCTAGTGAAGCAGTCTTTGTATTTGATGGATCTCTTTTTGTCTTGAAGAGCGAGCATCTGATGGCAAAGTTGATCTGTTGCCTTTTGTCCTCAATTTTGAGTCACTCTTCGGTGGTAAAAATTAGACAGGAGATGTATTCCTATTTTATTGGGCGTCTTTTAAACTCGCCCTCTACGACATCTAGCTCGACAATTTCAGGAAATGGCTTTTATTGTGGAGGACCGCTCATTCCTTCTTTAAATCTGATTACAGGCTCAAATAAATTGTTTGCTGCCATTCTAGCATCAAACACAACAGGCAATAGCCAAAAGAACAGCGGAACTTCTGGGAAGCATTTTGGAAAGCTAGGGAGATTGTCCACCATTCCAAATGTTTTCTTGCGTTTAAAGCTATCGCGGGAACATTTGTTTTCCAAGGGAGGTGTTGATATTGTTAAGAACAAAAAGCATCCTGCTGCCTAGACCGGTAATGACAAAAAAGCCCAAGACTTGAATAAATAGATAATATTATCAACAGCCCGCTAAAATCTACCAAAGTTGGACGTGGTCATATTCAATCGCTCCCAATGAAGCTGTTCGAACATACCGATCGAGGCCTGAAATGCAGAAGAATAATTGGTGCGATTGTAATTAACTTATTTACTTGGCATTTGGCTATTCTATTGGACAGTCGAGAGTCACAAGTAAATTTATTTTGGGGGTTTTTTATTTATGCAGAAAAAAGCCAAAGTTTTACTTGCGCTCGTCGGCGGAGCGATCTTTGTTTTGGGGGTTGCACTTATCTTTATAAGCTCTTACACCTCAAAATACAGCAAGAGCCCTTCAACGGTCGACATATCGGTTGTAAACGACGAGCCTGAACGCGGTCATTTAGAGACCAACTCAACCATCCTTTTGCGGAACTCTCCTTTGGTGCCGTCAGCCATTTTAAATGAAAATTCAAGCAACTCAAATGACATTCAAAATGCTAAAAGCATGCACTTGTCCGATATCCTGTTTTCCATCTTTTTAATTGGCCTAGCTACATTCTTGCTTTGGTATCCTAGCTATCTTAGCCAAGACATGCCTTCCAAACTCGACTTTCATAATGCCTGTGGGATTTATTCTCGCCACATTTCCCCGATCTCCTTTTTCGGCATTCATGTTGTCGACCTTTTCGGCATTGCAGTGATGTTTGTGTTGATAGTTGGCTTTTTTCTCTGGATTTTCGGGGTTGATCCATATATTTTTATTCAAATTCCTGAATATGTCAAAAAAATTGTTTTGGACTGCATCTGGTTCCCCGTGTTAAGCTTTTTAGAAGGATGCCATAATGGTATTCTCGCAATCTTTAACGCGAAAACGCTTTCAGGTGTTATGGAAAATATCATTGCATATATTAGATCAACCGTATTTTGGGAGAAACTTAGTTCAATGGCAAACTATTATTTCGATGATGTTTTGCAAAAAATTATAAATTTTCTTATGGGAATGGCAAGAAGCTCTTCAAAAGCCGCTTAGTCTTCATGAATTCGATTTGGTCGTGTCAATCTAAGCTACCTGATCCGACCATCTCGGATCCTAACTTTTTCGTTTCCAAAAAATATCTTTCAGCTTAATAAATAAGATTATCGTGTAAAATTCCATTTAAAACTCGGTCGCGTTCGATCAGGCATCCAGGAGTACCGCACACCTCCACACTGCGCTGGGAAAAGACGGCTCAACTCTACCTAATGTGCATGAAATGTTCCCGGATGTCCGTATTTTTAAGACCCCGCTTTAATTGGCTCTATACTCCAGCCCTTCATGTACGTATTTGATTGAACCGCGTAGTGGCCACATGATTAGACTTTCTGGGCAAACCGCTCATTTATTTGCACATTTCAAACACAACAGAAGCCAGCCGTGCTCTGGACACCAATCTACTGATATCAAAGTCATGGAAATCCTTTAGCATGCCCCATTTTCGCGCTTGAATCCTTGTCTCAAGAGTAGCTGCATCAATGGCCTCTTCAACTGTAGAATCGCCAAATGCCAAATTGAGTCCTAGGACACAAGACTTGAAATCTCTAATCGCCATTTCACATGCAGCAATCGATTCGCTAGAAAGTGTACAAGAAACATGATCTGAAATGGCTTTGATCACATCCCGGAGCCCATTTTGCGATGCAAGGCCAGATGGCGGCGTTAACGCTCCAGAGGACGGCGAAATGTGGACGCCAAATCTCGAATTGAATTTTTTGATTTCATTGCACCAAAGCAGCTCTTGTCCACTTCTTAAAGCATGATTTTCTTGCGAATCCCAGTACCTATAGCCAATGAAAAGCTAAAGCGTACAATATCGAATCAGATGGAAGAAAGGCCAAAATCTTTTTGAATTCCTCTGCAGCGCAATTCTGCGAGTCCAGGAATTGGGCTCTAAACAGCAGACTAGTCAACGGCCTTGAGGTGGAGATGTCTTTTTTAATAAAAGGAGACAACGACCACTCCAGCGCTGCCAATTGGGCGAGAGCTTCATTTTTAATGGTGAGCGGGAATTGCGGACAACTGCCATTTTCAAATGACAGCGAGCTATTTAGAAGGTACTTATCATTCAAAAATAAGTTGTATCCACCTAAGTAGTTACACTTGCTTTCTTTACCTCGAGGGCCTTGTTGGACAACACATTTGAACGATGCACAGCCCGTGCTATACCGAGCTCGCAAAATAAACCGCCATGTACATGACATCAAGTTTACTAAACCGCGCTTTAATTTGAATTTAAAATTACCACAGCCGATGAGGCCACGCATCACCAAACAGGGAACCCCCGTCATACAGGGAATACTCGCTGGCGAGCGTGTACTGCATGGCTACCGATTCACAAAGTTTTCCAAAACAAAGCGTCTTTTTAGGCCAAATGTCTGCGAGGTTTCCTTTTTCTCTGAAATCTTAAATAGAAGCATTACATTTCCCGTTTCAGGAACTGCTCTCAATAGAATAGAAGCGCTGGGTGGCATTGATAATTATCTTCTTAAAAGTAAAATTTCCGACATCGCTCCAGACGCAATAGCTTGCAAATGGAGAAATTTTATCGCGGCCGTTCAAACGGGAGCCATCAAAATAGGTGGCGGCTCACATGGCACCTACCTGACATAGACCGTTGTACATGCTTTGAGGGAGGACACCACTTGAGTTGTGATAAATTATTTTATTAAGTAAAGCAATAAAGCTGGCAGCGCGAAAAGCATATTTTACGTGGAAACCCCAACGTGCGTATGGCGAAGGATACGGTCTTTAATCCGATATCCCTTCTTTTGGACGGCGACGATGCGATTTGCAACAGACGCCTCGGTTTTAGGGGCCTGAAATATGGCCATATGGTGGTTTGGATCAAACGAATCCCCAGCTTCGGCCTCAATGGCCTCGATGCCGTGTCTTCTAAAGACCGATATCAACTCATTCCGAGTCAGATCGACACCTTCTCTTAAATCTGAAAGGGCCTTTGCAAATTCATTCTCAGAAACCGACCCTGATGTTTTGGAATTGTTCAACGCGAGCTCAAGGACATCTAAAACGGGGAGCAAATCCTTTGCGAAGCGGGTGATGCTATGATTCGAGGCTGCCTCAACCTCCCTTCTAGTGCGGACACGCAGATTCTCCATATCAGCAAGGACCATGAGGTAAGAATGCTAGGTGAATCGGTAAAAGAACAAGCAACTTACGTGAAGCTCTTTATATTTATCAGAGTCCTTGACATCGTCTTTTGGTGTGCAAGTAGAAGGCTCTGAGGCCGGTGTATTTGAAGCGTTCGCGGCAGTGGGTTCGTGTGCCCCAGAAGCTCTACCAGTGGAGTACAATGGAGCCCTAAAAGCTCTTAGTCGGAGCAAAGGCGAGGATAGAGACAATTGTCGAAAAACAGCTCTATTCATGTGCCAAGCGTTGTAAAACTGGAAATAAAATTTAAAATCCAAAAATTAATATTGCAGTATTGAGCACTTGGGAAAAATTCCTTTCCATGATAATAGGCTGTCGATCGGTGGAGTCCTACCGCAAGCTGAATCGAATCGAAGAAGGCACATATGGCATAGTATATAGGGCGCAGGAAACTTCAACCGGAGAAATATATGCGCTCAAGCGGTTGAAGCTGGAGCGAGAGAAAGAGGGGTTTCCAATAACCTCTCTGAGGGAAATATATGCTCTTTCCAAGCTCTCTCCGCACCAAAATATTGTACGCTTAAAGGAGATCGTCGTCGGAAAATCCATTGATCATGTATTCATTGTGATGGAGTTTATTGATCATGACTTGAAATCTCTTCTTACAAGACACAAAGCAAGTGTAGATCTTCCCCTCTCCATCAATAATCCCCAGTTCCAAATTTCGGAAATCAAGACGATATTACGGCAGCTGTTGGATGCAACTCGCCTCATGCATGACCATTGGATAGTTCACCGCGACTTGAAGACTTCAAACCTGCTTTTTACAAACACGGGCCTGGTCAAGGTGGCCGATTTTGGTCTTGCTCGCAAGGTTTGTACCTTTTACTGACGCGTGCTTAGATTGGCACTCCTCCGCCGGCATTAACACCTGTAGTTGTGACTCTCTGGTATCGCGCGCCCGAGATATTACTGGGAGCCCCGACCTATTCTTCCCCCGCAGATATTTGGTCGATCGGCTGTATTTTCGGTGAATTGCTCTCTGGAAGGCCTTTATTTCCGGGAACCTCTGACATTGACCAGATTAACCACATATTTAAAATCCTTGGCTCTCCCACCAACGACATTTGGCCATCTTGGGAAACGCTTCCTGGTGCACGGCTGTTTTCATCATCTGTGTCGGCAGCCTCAAATTCTAATAGTCGCACCCACAAGTACAACCACCTGCGTGGGCTATTTTCCAGCTCTGGTCTAAGCGATAATGCATTTGACCTTATGAATAGGCTTCTTTTGTATGATCCATCCAAACGGATAACGGCCTTTGAGGCGCTTTCTCATCCTTGGTTCGAAGAATGTCCTCTTCCGAAGGACCCCTGTTTATTTCCCACGTGGCCATCACTTAACATAAAGTCAAAGAAGCCTCATTCATCTATTGCATCTGAAACCGTTGGTGCTGAACACCAAGAGTCACAGAAAAATAAAAAAAGATGTTCTAGTTTTTCCGCATATGACTTTTTGCTGTAGAAAACGTTGCCATTGTGAATGCTTGAGTATCTCAATTCTACCTTGAAATTTTTCTGTCATACCCATCCATTTCTAATAAAGGCTTTCATATTCGGCTCACTTTCGCTAATTCCATCGATCATCCGGTGCTTATAAATCTGTGTGAAATGGGGTCTGTGTGCGTTTCAACCCCAATTCATATTTGAAGGCATTTAGTGTAGCCGAAATTTCTAACTTTGTGTGTTGTTACTACTGACACAAAAGGTTGAGATGTTATTAGGGCCCACTTGAATCGAATGAGATAAAGCGTTGCCACTTTGTAGCCAACAAATTAGGGTTTGAAACTTTTGGTTAAAATTTGAGCCTAAATTTACACATGCCTTGGTCTGTTTCTGATTAGGATCCGTTTATACCTTTCCAGTGGAAAGAAATCACACATCAAGCGTAAAATCTCATCTACATCGCTTTCCATGTAAATGCCATGTTTTCCAACTGAGACCCGTGCAAGCTTTATCAGGTGGATTTGAAACAAATATGTGTGCGTTTTAAATACCTAGCCTCGGCTATAAATTGAAAGACATGTGATCGGGTTCTCTGCCCCTGACCTGATCATGTTTTTATTGGTGAATTTGGGATTTTTTGGCTCTAATTTACATTCAAGATTGCCTAAACTTCGCACCTTTGAAGCCCTGGAAGCTTTCTGTAAATACCTTTCTGCTTCTATAATGCGACCTTTCGAGACTTTTAGGAAAGATCCTTTTGATGCCAATGAAAACCAAAAGGAAAAAAGTGTGCATGAAATGCCATTTAGCAAGAGCGATATTTGGAAAAGCGATGTGGATTGTAGAAGCCTACAACGTACCCGATACACTGCCCTTTAAATAAGCACCAGTGATATTGCCTTTTGGAAAGCTTCGCTTGGGCATGTTAAACGCCACTTGAACTTGGAACATGTAATTTATTTTAATTGACCGCTGCATGGTGCAGAGAAACAGCCTTGGTTACGATTGCTGCGGATCTTTCTTATATCTAGATTGCTTTTCCTGCTTTTCGGACCAATTGTATCCACGTCGAAAGATGTTCCATGAAAACAGCTGCCTTAACACCAAGGAACAATCGGAAATTGATTTTAAATCCAATAAATCGTCTTGAATGTCGAAACACACAGGCTCCGATAAATCAAAGCTCTTGCAATTAAAGCTGGAAACATAAACAGACTGCTTTCCAGACACCAGAAATACAACGGAGCAACAAGACCCGGATTCTGATTGAAACGATGCAAAGTCAACAACCCAGCCATCAAAATTCAACATCTTCACCAGCACTGCCGATTTTGCGTTAAAGTCAATATTAATGATGGGGATTGAGGAACAATTTTCAAACAGTAGGCCGAAAATATTGTCAGCGATCATAACGATTTTGAGGCAGTTGAAGCTACCCGAGCTTTCCTGGTAGCCTGCGAAAGAAAGCAAATCGGGGATAAATAAGTTGAAGTAAACCTTTGCGTATTGTATTTTCTCACTCGAAAGATCGGAGATCAGAAGATATGGGTCACCTCCCACGCTTAACATTACATTGTGCTTTTCGCTCAGATATATCGAAGAAATATATTCACTGTGGCCTAATAGATAACATTTGATTACTTCGGGATGTGAAAAGTGAGAGCATTTGATTTTCTGATCCCTTTGGGAAGTATAAATTAAAGCCTGCGACGAATCCAGAACCTACGATAAGAAAGCATCAAAAGGGTACCTACAATATCGGTAAGGATCGAAATATGCCCCAATAGCAGATGCGGGGACTTGGCCATATTAAATGGTGGCTCCCCAACATCAACGGTCTTCATTGCAAGCAAAAAGGAATACAGATCGCCAAATTTGTCACCAACAAGTATTCGCTTGTGATCTGGGGTTATCAAGACCTTTGTGATCGCTTTAGGAAGCCTGGCACTGAAAAGCAGGCAATTAGCAGGCGCCCTGTTTTCAACAAGATCACGATGCTCATAAACAAAAACTCGCTTCAGGGAGTCGGCAACGGCAATCAATATGGTCCCATCAACAGATTGACAGTGTAGTGCTTTTATATAGCAATTCAAGGCGCCCTCCTCTTCGATGTGGTTATCATCATCATAATCAGAATCTTCATTGCCCTCCTCGGTGTTCACAGTTCGACGGGTGCTTTCAGACTGACCCGCAGAAGCTAAAGCAGATGATCCAACAGCTGGCAGTTGAAAGGAAGTATTGGATTTGTTTTCCAAGTTGCAAAGAACAATCCGATTGGTAGAGGCAGCGACAACTAGAGAAGATAAAGGAAACGATACTAAATGGAGAGGCAACTGCATTGTAAAAATTTTACTTTCTTGCTTTGTTGCTTGCTTATTTATTAATTAACTGATTAATTCAACTTTATTTGAAAATTATTTGAACTAATAGGAGGAATGTTTTCCATTTTCTGACAAGGCCGATGGAGTATATTCTGGAGGAGGATTTGACAGCAGTGACTTGCGTTCATGAACCGAATTTTGGGAGTCTTTGGAAATATCAACGATAGGATCTTCATGGGAGCTATTCGATAATTTGGAGACAAGATAATCTCTTTGTCCATTTCCACCGCTTGCTCCTCTATTCAATCTAGAAGGGCGAAACGCACCTCCATAAAAAGAGGCGTGTTTCCGTAGACGAACAAAATAGTAATAAAAGTAATAGAGCAACCCAAATGCAGCAAAAATAAGAAATAGGTTAAAGCCGGACGGAAGATTGCTTTCTCCGCCGATGGAAATTACCGGATGCACGGTGCTTCCGATGGACTTGTCGATGACTACCTCATCATCCTCGGTGTCTTGATTGTCCTCACCTACGACGGATTTCACCATTTTCGATACCGTGTCATAAATAAATGACATGGAGCTCTTGTCTTTTAAATCTTCTCTAGAGTCCTCGCAATAGCCATGCTTCTCAAGATCCCCTCCTTTGGGTACGTGGCATACAAGCGGGTGATTTGCCTGTTTTTCATAGCGAGAAACACACTCTTCAGTGGTACTACACGGTGGAATGCATTTCTTCGAGTATTTGGAACAAATATAAGGACGACGGCATCCAATATCTAATTCACAGAACTCAAAAAGATCTGGCTTGGGAACGCAGGCCTCATTAACAACATCACACCAATGATCATATGGACATTCAAAGTCCATAGCAAGGCATTTAGGTGTAATCTTGAATGGTTTGGGAGCGCATCTGTTTCCAGAGCAATGGCAATAATCTGGGCAGGGGTCCTTCTCGCCTTCCTTTGGCATCTTACAAGGCCCCATCAGCCATGGCTTGGTGCACTTGCGATTGTAGCAAACAGAGTTTTTGGAGCAGTCATCATCGTATTGACATGCAAATTTACTTCCCTTGTAGCCCATTATGAAGTCTCGCGGTGTTCAAGAATTAAGTGACCTGGTTTTATATAATAGAAAGATTAATATTCGTTCATTACTTTAAACCAATCACAGTTTAAAATTAAATTCGCACCAATAACGCACACAAAGATTAGGGTTGGCAATTAAAGAAGATTACATACATACATGCATGCATGCATGCATAGGTTAATTGTATGGCCAACTGTAAATTTAATCATGGAATTTACAGTAATCGTTTGAGAGGCACGTTATGGGGCTGCAATAAACCCCCCATGGAAAGCCCGTCACTTTGTAGGCAAGTATGATTGAAGCCATTTATTTAAAAATTACAGTAAAATTAAAAATCGAAGGTTTGGCTCAAATTGGCACGTATCAGGCATTTGGGAGCCAAAGCCATCTCCAAGAATAGACACTAGACATTACATATGGTATGGATCTAGTCTTCTAAACAGTATGGCTGGTATTGGCTTGGGCATTTCCATAAGTATTGGCGGGGTAAACGCCGTAATAAGATTCTGTTTCCTTCTTTTTTTGACCTGCAATGCAAGGAAAATCGCAAAAACAATGGGGACCATGGTGGCTGTGATTGCCACTATGGCAGTAAAAACGGACATATCTTTTAATGAATGTAATTTCCATTTGAGAATAATCCAAATTTCTCTCACACCAATTGGCCAGAGTCATTCACCAATGGTTTCTATTGGGGATTAAACTTCGTGATTATTTCCAATTTACACTAAGTAATGCGAAAAGTCCGCTGATGTTGGGCACAGAAGTTGTAAATATTAATTTTCACATATGGCCCGTAATGGAAAAGATCCCCACGACCAAGTTCCGAAGAAAAAGTCACCCTGGACGCATTTAATAGCTGGGGGCGGGGCTGGTCTTCTAGAGTCATGCACCTGCCATCCATTAGATACCATTAAAGTTAGAATGCAGTTACGTGGAGAGATCCTCTCGAAACAATCAGTATGGGCTGGACTATGGTAATTACTAGAAATTAGGCCCTTTTGGTACGTTTATTTCTATTGTTCGGGGCGAGGGTCCACTTGCTCTATATAAGGGGCTGTTTCCTGTTGTTTCTGCTATCGTTCCAAAAATGGCCATCAGGTTCACTTCTTTTGAGGCGTTTAAAGATGCCCTGGGCACGCCCTCGGCACAAAAAACATTTCTTGGTAAGCAATTGTGTGGCCATTATCTTTTTAGCGGGGCTTGGAGCTGGGATTGTGGAAAGCGTTGTTGTAATGAATCCCATGGAGGTGGTAAAAATCAGGTTACAAGCGCAGAGGCATGGAGAGCATCGCTACCGCTCTGCAAGTCATGCTGCAATAACCATCCTTCGAGAGGAGGGTGTTGGCGCCTTTTACAGGGGAGTAACTTTGACTGCCGCAAGACAGGGTATCCCAATAGGTGTAATATCTTAAATGATAGCAACCAACCAGGCGGTAAACTTTACCCTCTACCAGGAGCTCAAAATGCTGCTTCAGTCGTTTCAAGATATCAAAGAGCTGCCATCTTGGCAGCATCTGCTGGCCGGCGGAATATCAGGCGCGATCGCTCCGTGCATAAACGCGCCGATCGATATTTTAAAAACAAGGGTTCAAAGGCAGGCCACGACGACCAGTGGATCAGGGTTTTCCCTGATCAGAAAAGTTGCGTCTTCTGTTTATAAATCAGAGGGATTGTTGGGATTCTACAGCGGACTGACACCAAGGCTTCTCAGAATCGCACCGGGCCAGGCCATCACATTCATGGTTTATGAAAAAATACAGAAATTTATCGAAATTTACTCACCACAATACCCAAGCTTTGTCACCATTGGTGCGGTTGAGGAAGTTTCTACTTCCGACGGCAAACTAGAATAAACACCCGGATCGTCGTTCACTTGAACTTCATTGATTGCTGAAAATTGATTTTAAAAACTTCACAGGCTAAATTTTAATCTCCAAATGTCGATCCACTTGGCAAAAAGCTTTCGTCTTCCTTCGGTGCAACACATCTCCGTACATTGCTGGAGCCCGGATGGCTTGCTGCTGGCCCTTTCTCCAAACAGCAATGAACTCATGATTTTCCAACAGCTGTCCTCTGGATCGTGGAGCCTCCTCCATTCGCTTGCTATACATACGCAGAAAATCACCGGTTTAGATTGGTCATCGATTGCTGCACCAAATGGCGATGTCATCCATCGGATTGTCTCGTGCAGCGAAGATAGAAATGCGTACGTTTGGACCTTCCCATCCTCAAACTTAAATTCTATCAAGTACGAATTGGTGATCTTGAAAATCGAAGCAGGAGCAACCATAGTCCGCTGGTCCCCTTCTGGAATGAAGTTTGCCATAGGAAGCGTGTCATCAAAAACACCGCTTTCAATATGCCATTATGATGCCGATGCTCGCTGGTGGACGTCTCGCCCCATTGCTACGGAGGATGTCAATGGCTTAGATTCTGGGATTTTGGCATTGTGTTGGCATCCTTCCAGTGTTTTGATTTCTATCGGCACGATTAGCTCAGCAATTTTTGTTCTCTCTGCCTTTGTAAAGGGAATAGATTCAAAGTATGTCCTGTTTTCACTCACCATATCCCAAGGCCCGATGATTGTGAGAAATGGGGCGACCGATTTCCCTTTGGAACCGTGTGCTTGGCACTTGGAAAGGACAAAAAAGCGCCCCCTAGATGGATAAACGCCATGGCATTTTCTCCAGATGGGAACCAAGTTGCCGTCACAGGTTAGTTAGTCTTTATTTGTTCGTAGAATCGCCATCGGCAGCTATTCGCATTGTATCTGCAGCATCGACAAGCTCGACCATACTGCAAGCCCCTGATTCGCTGCCGCTTCTTTCCCTGCTGTGGGTAGACCCTTCGTTGATTATAGCAGCTGGATTTAGCGGAAGACAATGCTGTTATTCTAAAGACTCCAATGGCTCATGGTTTGTAGTAATTGCTAATGGTGCAGGTTTATAGCCTTTGAGGATCAGCGATTAGCGCCCTCCACTGGCGAAGCGAAAAAGAAGAGCTCATCATCCTTGGCTTTCAGTAAATTCAAATCGCTGGTGCTTACGGGCCAGAAATTCAAAGATGGTGACGAGGAAGATGGCGTGGCACTTGAGGACTCCTCCGGTAATTATCCTAAATCAACGATCAGGTTTGTCAATAGCAATTTCCTCCCTTATAGTGAGTTGCGATCTACCGATGTAGCATCCAAGATGCAATTCTCCTCGTCTTCGTTTGACGGGATTTTGTCTCTATGGAATATACAGGAATCGGCAAATATGACAGCAAAACAAATAGCCGTGTCGAAGGAGGATCTTTCCCAGCTGAAGCTTTAAATATAAAACTATTAGAAGACGTAAATAACCCCTAGCCTTGCGAGGCAAAAGTTGCCAACTTTGCATACAAACCAAACATAGTCAAAGTGTACTGCATTCAAAACACACAAGGGACCTGCACATTTGCAATACCCCAATCTCCTAGTGTGGATGCATTTGCAGGATTATTGATCAACCGTTGTCGCAGATGATTAAAATTTAATTAACAATTTCCCTATTTATCAATTTGCAGGAAATTGTCATATTAGTTACAGCTAAAGAGATGCAAACTCGCCAGAAGCTATTGGTTCGCTTTTGACAATCTCTGGATTGCTTCTGTAAGCATTATTGCGTTCTGTTGCATCTCTAGCAGTAGCACTGTTTGAATGGGAATTAGAGGACTGTGGAGACGTGAAGCTCGAAAACGGTCTAAGCTTCTTCCAGGTGGAAAGAATCACCGCAAACGCAATCGTTGCAAATATTGACAGAATTATAATTGCAGCCCAGTACTGCAAGATTGTTGAATCATCTTTTAGCGGTGTTTCCTCAATTTGAGATTCGGCTGTGGGGGGTTCTATTGATGAGCTGTAATTTTTTTACCTTTCACGCCATATGAAGGAGTCTGCCCATCTTCATCCGCTTTAAATGAGGCCAGATGCTTAGGCATGCGAAGAAGAAGAACTTCTATAAAAAATCGCGTTGCTATGGGCGAGAATCTAAACCATTTTTGATCAGCCAATGAAAAGTTCATCTTTGAATTTCGGTTTCACGCTTGTTTTGTAAATTTTGGTTAAAGCAAAATGAAACGTTCTTGAACCATGAATTTGCTCCCATCATCTATGGAAGTGATTGATCAACTCTTTTTAAATTCTTTTCAAAATCGATTGGATTCAGATCCCCATCAAGTTGCGGGGAGAAATGCAGAGATATCTCCTGATGCTAAGCAAAGTGGCTGCCCAAATGCAGCATCTATTTCAAAGTCGACCGGAATAGATTGGAGCGATTCTTTGCGTAGCAGATTTGAATGGTCCCCAGCAAGCACAAATGCTAGCAAAAATAATTTATTTCCACCTGCTGATGATTGGTCTGAAGATTTAAAATGCACCAATGGAAGCCTCTCGTTTAATTTTCTTCATTTACAAAACAGTAAAGACTCTACTGCTTCATTAATATTTTTGGAGAACGTTCTTAAAGAAGAGATGATGATTTCTACTTCAGCTGCTTCCATTCCAGCCGTACAAACTAATCAGCGCGCCCTTCCAAGAATTGTGAGAAAAGCATCTGCATTCGATTTGGCGCTTCCCATACACCCGCTTTCTGAACCGGCTTTCGCCTCCACTTCCCCGCCAAAAGAGTCATTTCTTCCTTCAATAATGGGGTTCAGAGACCACAATAATCCCAATCATAATATCAATTTTACTCACCCACACGTTCCACCTTTGAATCTCCTCTTTGCGAACAAGAATAATCCTGGCGGATATCATCATCATCATATGATGTCAGATTCCTATTCTGCCACGCTGGGCCCCTTTTGCTCCTCTCCAAAAAGCCCTGAAATTGACCCAGGCGGCCACTTAACTGCTGGGACGCTTCGGCATTGCTTGTCACCAGACTCACTTGGCATCCATCCCTTTCTTGAGGATATTGACTTTGATGAGGAGGACAATAATTCCCGCAACCACCGCTCTCATTTAGCTAGTGAGAATAGTGAACCACATTTATTTGAGGGAGACGGCTTTTCCTCGCATGCTAAAGCTCGAGATGCCGTTGCTGCAGCTTGGTCTTCCCTTTTGGAGGGAACAATTATTGGAAATGTTCGATCCTCAATCCCCAAAAAAGATGCTATGAAACCTTCGCCGTTCCCATCTCTTGAGACTATCAAAAATTCTCTTTCGATTATTCAGACGTCTTTGCCAGTAAAAAGATCCATTCCTCTTCCAACGGAGAAGTTTCTCCTCGTATCTTTCAAAAATGGTCGTTCAGAGATTTTTCTGCGGCCAGAAAACCAAGAAGATCTCTCTTTAACCCTTTTGGACTACGTTATGGTTGAAGGTGATCGTGGCGAGGATCTGGGCATCGTTTCTGGGGCTGTCGGACAATCATGGGTCCATTCGGTTATTTCCCGCTGGAACACCTCTATTGTGGGCTCATCGCCCATTAGATTCTCAATATCTGATGAAGAACTTAGCTCTCGGGATGAGATTTTTGCTCCCTGGCCTACTGTTGCCTCGATTACCATTACGACTGCGACTTCGGGAAACGGCGACCACCAGCCCACCAATTCTGGTCTCTACTTTGCTAATTTGAAAGACCTGATGGGCAAGCGCCATGTTCTTCGTACCGCAACGCCAGAAGAGATCAAAAGCTGGAGATCACAGAGGCAAGAAGAGTCTCTGGCTGTTCTCCGATGTGCAGTGGTCGTTCGTTCTCATCGTCTTCCAATGACGATCGTGGATGCAGAATATCAGCATGACCGCGCCAAACTGACATTCTACTACGTTAGTTCCTCTGGGCGTGTTGATTTCAGAGAGATGGTTAGAGACCTTTTTAGAATTTACAAGGCGAGAATATGGATGTGTTCTGTGGGCCCGGACTCAACTGTCCCTGCCTCGGAAGAACTGAATCCATGACGCGAAATAGAGCAAACCACGGATTAAATTATTCATGGAGACAATACTGCACTGTCTATCTAGTGCACTAAAAGGAAATTTATTAAATAATTAAATAACATCTGAAGCAATTGGTCTTTTGCATCGTACATACTTGAACCAAGTGTCAGGCTTCAAGTATTTAGTTTTCACATTCTGAATCGCTGTAATCCTGCGGATCGGTAGATAAGGAAGACCCTGAATCACTGCAGTCCTGCGGATCGGCAGAAGAATCGGATTCTGGCTCACTGAGCTGGCTTTGATTTTGGCCACAATCGGGGCTCAAAATGGCTTCAGAAGGCGAGTCGCTTGCGCTTGCGCTTGCGCCTGTGCTTGTGCCTTGGCTTTCAGAGGGAAGCAAAGTTAGGCATTTTTCGCAACAGCCACTTGCATGGGCACAGTTTTTACATATCACATGATACGATTCCTTTACGGTCTTATCACCACACTTTACGCTACATGAATTAGTCAAATTTGGGGTACCATTTGCGCGGACCGGAAAGAAGCTTGAACTTTCCAAACTGCTTCCTCCAGAGTATTTTTTGCTCGCAAGGGGGGCATAATCCTCTTACGGGCATTTTTTGAATCTTTTTTGAAGGTTCTCTAAGCTTAAAAGCGTATCTATTTTGGTATTTCTGGCTCTGCTTGGGTCGGGAACTTAGAGAAACCTTGGAACACATTTGAAATTATTTAATAAAACAAATTAAATTTTTTAATTTACAAATTAATTGGTTGAAAAGGTGAGTAAACGGTTCTCTCTCCCAACCCAGTTCTATTTCATCCATCCTTATTCGATATTACTTTGTTGATTTTCCGCTAATATTGTAGAGATGGGTGCATACRAATAKATGGAAGAGTTGGCAAAGAAGAAGCAGTCTGATGTGATGCGCTTCATTCTTCGCGTCCGCTGCTGGCAATATCGTCAGTTGAACGCCATCCATCGCGCCTCGAGGCCTTCTCGCCCAGACAAGGCACGCCGCATTGGTTACAAGGCAAAGCAGGGAATGGTCATTTATCGCATCCGCATTCGCCGCGGAGGCCGCAAGAGACCAAACCCAAAAGGTATTGTGTATGGAAAGCCTGCCGGACACGGTATCAACCAGCTAAAGCCCTCTCGCTCCATCCAAACACTTGCGGAAGAGCGCGTTGGTCGTCGTTGCCCGAATCTCCGCGTCCTGAACTCCTACTGGGTCAATCAAGACGCCACGTTTAAATATTTTGAGGTTATCTTGGTCGATCCAAGCCACAAGGCAATCCGCAGAGACCCCAGAATGAACTGGATTTGCCGCCCCGTCATGAAGCACCGTGAATGCCGTGGACTGACTTCCTCTGGACGTAAAGGAAGAGGCATGGTTGGAAAGGGTCATGGGTTCAATAAGATGATTGGAGGCTCGCGAACTCACAATTGGAAGCGTCGTAATACGCTCTCTTTACGCAGATATCGTTAAAGGGAGGGGGGGTTATTCAATACACATTGGAATCTTTTAAACGCCTATTTTAATTTATTTGTAAATTCGATTTTCGTATTTAATTTTTATGTCCCATTGGTTGTCTCTTCATATCCTTGGTAACAGTGGCTCCAGTTTTTCCTGTCATGGGCAGCCTTTCCTGGGACTCGGATAGGTACTCTTTCCCTCTTATATATAGAATTCTATCTAGAAGTGCTCCACGATGGCAATCAAGACAAGGGAACTGGGATGTGGCGAGACAACTGGATGACACATCTATTATGGCTGCTTCTTCTTCTTCCTTCAACACACTTCTGAGGATGGAGCTTGGTGCAACGGGTTCCTCTTCCAATGTCACCCAAAATTCGGTTGGATTAACGCAAGTTGTGCAACGGCTACTGCAGCCTCACAGACTTGGGCGGATGGTGAACATTCATCCAATCAAGATACTAGAAGCCCCGGGCCTTCTGGACGATTTTTACCTGAACCTCATTGATTGGGCACCACATGGAGGGCCTATTGCTGTTGCACTTGGAAAATCAATTGTCTTCATTGAGCGTGTGCTCGGGAAGCGTTCCCGTACCTTTCGCTTTTCCACAGCAAGCGACGGGATCACTTGCATTAAGCACGCACCAGCCTCTAATGCACTGGCTACTGGCCTTTCTTCTGGGAGCTTTTTGTTCTGGGATCGAACGCAGGGCGTGCCTTTTTTTTCGCTTCCTCATATCCACGCTGGGCGCATTGGAGCAATCTCTTGGCGTAACGCCAATATTCTTAGCGTCGGGGGCAGGGACAGAAAGATCCAACACATTGACATAAGGACGGCAAAATCGTGTTTTAATGGTGTCGCATCTGCACATTCGCACTCACAGGAGATATGCGGGCTTGCCTGGGACCCCAGCGGCATGTTACTTGCCTCTGGTGGAAATGATAACCGGCTTCTAATTTGGGACGCGCGGCAGATGGGCGCAGAGCCACTTGTAGAATACACAGATCATTTGGCTGCGGTGAAGGCTATTGCCTGGAGCCCTTCTTTGCGCAATGTGCTCGTTTCTGGAGGTGGGACCCTGGACCGTCGGCTTGTTTTACGCGACATTTCGGCTGCCCCTATCATTGTCTCTGCTATGGATACCGGCTCTCAGGTATTGAAGACCACTTTCTTATCATCATAGGTGTGCAATGTACAATGGAGCCCCGACAGCCACTCCTTAGAACTTATCACTTCTCATGGATACACACAAAATCAATTGGTGCTTTGGCGCGTGTCGCCCCAGTTCGCCGTAGAGCGCAATGAGCCAAAAACCACGATAACCAGTGCATGCTGGGGTATTAATACGCCTTTGCCTCCAGGGGCGCGGCTGACACCTCTTGTCCACTTTGAGCCCTCGAGCGAGCGAATCGTACACATGGCAGCCGACCCGGCCGGCGAGCATGTGATTACGGGTGCTGGAGACCACACTCTCAAGCTGTGGAGCGTTTTTCGGCCGCAAAACCACCAGAAACCTGACTAGCCGAAGCACTGCGCTAAAATGGATGGGCTCTTCAAAGCAATCTCGTGCCGCCAATTCAAAACGTTAATACATGTGCTTTTAATTTGCAAATTTAATACAGCAACCAAGGCACTTGGCTTGGTTAGGTTTTCGTCTATGCTTCCGTAGCTGAAGGTCTGGGAGACCCAGCTCGATCAAAAAAAGCAACCAGACGCATCAACGCCGTAGGCCTGTCGATCGGAACCAGGGGTGTCCATTTTACGACCTTTTTTGTGCACCCTCCTTCTTCTGCATAAATGTGCGTTCCCGCCTTTTGCATCTCCAGCATCAGGCGCGAGAGTGAAAGAGTCGAGTAGTAGAGCCAGAAAATCAGGCCGCCAACCATTGACCCGACACCCACATCGACCAGGTAGTTTGAACGAGCAAAAAGCAAGCAATAGGCAACAATTCCGGCGATCAGGAATACTAGCAGACGTCCGAAAATCAATAGCAGCAAATTGCTGGAGAAATTAAGATTACAAAAGAAAAGTAGCAGCACCATTAGCAAGGCAGAAGATTCTGCAAAGATGAATGAGTGGCAGCACTCGGATGCGCCGAGGGACACTCGCAGGGTGCGGCTGATCCATTCGCCGCTGGTAGCTGGGAAAAATGGCACACAAGCAGGGTTTTCGTTTTGAAAGACTGTCAGAGGAGTCATGGCAGCTTGCAACAAAATCACTACCATCGACATCACCAAAAGATGAATCAGCTCACGCACAGAGCCTAATAATACGAAGGCCAGAATAGCCACACCCACAAAGGTGGTAAAAGTGAGCCATCTTGCAATGTTAATTGCAAGGGCGGTCTGTTCAACCCCAGGATACGGATTTTGAGTCTGCGGGAACACTGAACGAAACAGCAAATCGTCTAATAGGATGGAAAAGTGCGACGCCAACTGTGGATCCTCTGCGAGTTTTCCTCGATTTCCTGTTCCACCTAACTGAGGCACTAGCAGCGGTGTTGGAAACTCTGCACGCAACAGAGAGACCTTTTTGGAAACGTCATAGGAAGAGAAAGAGGGAAAGTATCCAGAAGGAAACCTTATACCTTGTAGGCGTTGAAAGAACGTACCAACGGCGACCGGTTCGGAAGTGCTATTTTTAATTTCATTTGTATCCATTGGTGTATCGTCATGTCCAAGTGTAGAGGAGATATTCTCTTCGCTAAAGGAGGTAGAGTTTTCTCTAAATCTCATAACACCTGCATGTCCCGCTGTAAAAGATGTAGAAATGATGGCCATGGACCGAGAAAAATCCATCCAAGATTCCGAGTCAGTTACATTGTAAAAGTATACCAAGGCTCTTACGTCAGTCCATACATGCACCGAGGACGCAATGAAGATGGAAACAAGCAAACATCCCACAGTGCAAAGAAGTGTGCCAATCGGGCGCCATGAAACTCCTGAGCAGTAGTGATGGAGCTCCAAATTGCGCATTTGAATTTGAAAAAGACAGATTGATGGGATCACCAATTTAATTACAGACAGGTGTTTCAATGGCAGCTTTTGAAAGCTACACACTGCAAAGGTCAAAGAGGCAAGCGGTTCAACCAGCTTATTAGCTTTAATTCCATTATGTACCGACGGGCTTCAAGATCGACTATTGGTCCATCGATGGCAGTGGCATCCCCAATTTGTTCGGCCAGGATAGATAGCACCACCCGATTTCAAGAGCTCTAAAACGATTTGAATAAGAATCCAAAGTTTGGCCCTTGGATAGGCTGAAAAATAGGCATCACGAGCATTATCAGTGATTTTGAGAAACCAAAATCCACACGGTCATGTAAGCCTTGCAAAAGAGGGCACTAGTAAATATTTAAGAAGAAATTTCAGCTTTACTGGCTGATGTGCTGCTAGAAATCGATAAATCACACCGCGTTACGCCGCTTGCTGACCCAGATGTGCCTTAAAAAATTGTGCTTCGTATCAATAATTTGGCAGTTTGGAAGCCCATTTTTCATCGCTTTGCAAGATTACTTTTTGAATAGCGGCGAGTTAAACCAAGGCACAAAAGCTATTGATAACTCGCTATTTTAATTTTCGCTACCAAGGCTCCGTCTTTATGGAGATATCGCTATCTATGTCAAAACCCTTGCTTTTGGCTTTCAAGATGTTCTGCTTGTAGTAATTTGAGCAAAAGCTATAGTGGGCCTTGCGAAAGGAAATGGGTACTCGCCGTTGAGCAAGATCAATTTATTCGCTTTTGGGAAGCACAAAATCCGCAAGCACCTCAACTAATGTACGTGTCAATTAGGCTTTCCCCTAAAAGTGCACATGAATTTTTTCCCTACTTTTGTTTTACAAGAACAATAGGGTCGCCAATGAGTAGCTTGAAAAATTTGCCAAATCGATTTCAACTTTGCCAAGTTGCAGTAAATTGAAAAGAATGCACGCTTTTTTGTAGGGCACCACCATGCAACTAGTAGCCCGTAGATATTTGTCTGCCATCCCGACGGGGCAGACAAAATTCACCGATTTTGGATATAAAAGAATACCCATCGAAGAAAAGGCAACTCTAGGTTTGTAACTTGTTGCTGAGCCATAGTTTCAAAGGTCTTTGAAAGCATTGCAGATCGCTATGATATCATGAATGACGTGATGAGCATGGGGCTGCATCGATGTTGGAAACGCAGACTGGTTTCTATTCTTTCACCACGTCCTGGAATGCGCATGTTGGACGTGGCCGGCGGCACAGGTATGAAATTTTATTGCTCATCGCCATCAATGTAGGTAGGCTCGCTTCAAAATGACGATGTCCTAGGCGACGTTACATTCAAGTTCCTTTTGGAATATCGAAAAAGATTCCCTATCAGCAGCGCAGAGAGTCCACGAGTCACAATTGTTGATATAAATCCGGCAATGCTGGAAGTCGGCCAGAAGCGAGCCACAAACATGCTGCCCACCGACCTTCGTATATTTCCGATCCTTGAACCATAGAGCATCTTATTGAGTGGCGATGCGCTGATGCGGAGCAGCTGACCCAATCCACCTCCAAAGGGCCCGGTGTACCGGCAGCAGCCTTCGATGCATATACGATTGCATTCGGGATTCGAAACTGCACATCGATAGAAAAAGTACTCGCACAGGCCCATCGTACACTTGTCCCTGGAGGGTTGCTTGCCGTGTTAGAGTTTTCGCCTCAGCTTGAAACAAATGGGACGCTAGGTGCCATCTTTCAGAATGTTTATGATCTATACTCCACATATGGAATCCCTGCTTTGGGTACCCTTATCGGTGGGAATAGGGAGCCGTATCAGTATCTTATCGAGTCTATCAGGAAGTTTCCAACAAATGAGACCTTTGCCACAATGATCGAGGCGGCTGGGTTTTCGCACGTACATGTAGAGACACTTGCAGGTGGTATCTGTGCCATTCATACTGCTGTCAAGCTTCAGTGAAGCGTGTGCCACCCATTTCGATAAATCGATGTACTAATGTGTGTATCAGTTTCAACAGAGCAGCTATTTTACAAACAATGAGCCTGATTTTGAATTGAAAGATCGAGCTGACTCGAATACAAATAGTGTCCGTTTCGAGAAGGTCTTAATGGTAACGATTGGCGTGTGGTGTCAAGGGTGCGGCTAAAAAGGCTTTCATCCGGCTGGGAAGCATCTTGAACTCCGCTTTCGTTTAACAGCGGTACCTTTAGAGATGCAGCCCTGCATTTCTGTAGTACATGTAGACAAAAAATGCGCTCCTTCTTTTAATATATACAGTGGCTTAGCAGGTGGAGTGAGTGGACTGAGTGGACTGAGTGGAGCGAGTATAGTGAGTGAAGGTGCATTTATGACTTGGGTTAGCAAAGGGGAGCTCAAGTCAAACTTGTGGCTCAGAGAAGACCCTGCAAAGCTACTAGTATTGATACCTCGGTCATTATCAACCAGTCGTTTGACACTACAGACTAGGGTATTACTGGAAATTAACTGACCACTTGCGATAGATTCGCAATAGGCGGTACTTGGGGTGGACTTGACTAGGGCAAGATCTTCATATTCGCGCTGAAGATGAATGTTGAGGATTTTCCCGCTGGTCATCGAGTTCAGATCATTCACCTCGGTTCCGCTATTAATGATGAGGACAAGAACCCGCTCCACGGAAAGAAGACCATCTGGAATAGAAAATGTAGCATATATGGATGGCGGCGAAAAAAACTTGCTTCCGCTTGCAAGTAACATCGACAAAATCGTATTTGAGCACTGTGCAATAGCAAGCCATTGTTCATGGTCCATTGGCTCTGAGCATAATGCCTCTCCAAAGGAGGAAATATCACCGGAATAGGAAAAGCCCCCATAAGAAGACGTACTGCCAATGATTATGAGCTCAGTGGGTGCTGTTTTGCTTTTCAAGGGCATTTGGTCATTATATAAAAGAGGCATGATCCGCGGGTGGGGATGGGTGTATTTCTGCAACGATAAATACCTATGTATGAACAAAGTACACCCCACCTGTGCCGGGCAAGGAAAGGTTGGACGGGGTCCATGGACTCTTCTTCGTAATCAAATGAACAGGCATCCAAGCTTGGCCGGTCAAAGCTGGCCGCTCCGTGTGCACATTCATCTTCAGAAGAACAGTCGTGGTCATGCACTAAATGCCTTCTTTTGTGTTCCAAGGAGCCCGCGCCGTGTACACATGCCATAGCTTTGCGCTCCCGGTTTTTTGCGCCACAAGACATATGGGCGCAACTCCGATTGGAAAATTAAAATAAATTGCACATTTTATTGATGTGAGGTGGACCTTTTTCTAAAGCAATGCAGACATCCCCTGCGTGCATCGGTCCCGGCCATAAAACAGGAACTAGGGTATTTCAATCAGAATCAGAACCATGATCATCGTCTTCGTCCTCCGAATATCTGCCTCCATATGACTTGTGTGCAGGCGAAGCCTGTGAGGCCGACCCCTTCATCGCCATTTTACATTGGCGTACATATCGTATGAGTGCATGTAGAGTGGCCAGAGAGAGCGTGTCAACATCAAGCTCGATCTCGCCATTTTCTGCTTCGTTCCGCAGATTCGGCATCGACTCGTTAATGATTTCCAAGACTTTTCCCAGCCGCTCTGGAGGCAAATCGTTGATATCAAGCGAAAGCTGGCGCTTTTCTTCAAATGTCAACGGCTTGAGCGATGTGGTGGAAGTTGGCTTTTGCTTTTTTGCCGGAAATCCAGAGTTACTTGTGGCGGACGGTGCCGGCGCAGGGGTCGCTCTTCGTTTTGATTGGTTTGAATGCGGACGCTTACTCCGTGCCTTTCCATGGGACATCAGTTCCTTGATTTCTTCCTGTAATTGCTGAATTTGGGCTGTTTTGGCTGAAATAATGGATGCGGTCTCTTCGTCAAGCTCTGCATCATCCCCGCTATCAAAATCAATTGAAGAAATTGCAGCTGCAGAAGCAGATGCATGCAGCGATGGCCGGTTGGCCCACTTTTCATTGAATACCTTTTCAACAGCCCGGCAGAGCTTGACGACTTCCGAGTCTGGGGCATTGTAGAGGTAGCAATTTGAAAAAACCAATCGAACATCAGACTCAAATTCAGAGGCTGTCAAGTAAGACTTTGCTTCAAGCTTTCTTTTGACTGTCCCCAAATCCATTGGGGTTTTGATGATTTTTAGGTAATCTGGAATGCCTAGAGCAACCGGATCAACAGGCTGCAAAAATGGCCACGAGACTGGCGAGATTTTCTTGGACCAAAAATCTCTAGCAACCACCAGAGCATATCTAAGATCATCAGCATCGTTTCCCGATATCGATGAGGGCGATGCATTGGAGGTAGATGCAGATCTGCGTCGTGGTAATTCTGTAATTGAGGCGCGACGGCTGGGCGAATCTGATGATGGGTTATTTACAGTGACATCTGAGATCGGTCCTCCAGGGCCTGCCGCTCCTGTCGGCATTTTCTTCATCATGGAGTCAAACGATTTTTCCAGGTTCTTTCCCATTGAATATACTGGATTATCTGGCCGGTTGTAAGTGTAGCAATTGGAAAACACAAACCCGACATCTGATGTCCATTCATCCAATGTGGAATATGAGCCTGCTGTAAGCTTGTTGGTAATGGTTCCAAAGTCCATCGGCTGTTTAATGACATCCAAGTAATCTGGTATTTGGAGTGCGATCGGATCAACTGGCTGGTTGAAAGGAAATGAATCTCTATGCCTTTTAAGCGTCTTCATGATCTGCATGCAGTATTTCAACTGTTCCTTGAATAGCGGGGTTTTAGGCGGCATAGTATCTATAGCTGGCGGTACTGGTGACTTTGGTTCGTGTTTCTTTTCATTATCTGCGTTATGCAAATGAAAATCTTTTTTTAGGCAAGATTCAAGGACAACACTCGAGAAAATATCCATTGAAGTCTTTGCGGCATTTTTTCCGGACCCCAAATCGTTGCTGCTGGTGTCCACTGTGGCATATGATGTTGATCCATCCTCTTTTTGTTCTATGGTATTTTCTGTGACTGAGATGGCAGATTCCAACTCATCTTCCCTAAGAGAGGATGTGGTTGAAGACACTGGAGAAAGGGGAGAGTCTGGAGAATCTGGCATGAGGAAAATTTAATTAAAACTTCAAAAATTAAATTTGCGAAATGCAACAAAAAAATTTGGCTGCCTTCTGCTTCTTGTTGGTATTTATAGGTCCACCGAAAAGGCGGGAAAATTAGCACCGGAGTGTGTAACCTTTTAATTTTTAAAGTTTTAAATTTACTCGTCCACATGACGCAGATCAGCCATCACATTAGGGCAAACATGGCAAGATATTGTATAAAAGGTGCCGGATCTTGGTTTTGTTACGTATCAACGACTTTCAACCAAAGAGGCTCGTTAACTAGGGTCGATATACTTGAATTTTAAAATAATTTTAATTGTTCGCATAAATACTGTCAATTCTCCAAGATTACATGTCAGTGTGCCCCATGTCGTCCTATAATTATCATCTGGGCAGCATTATAAAAACAATCTTCAATTTTCATGATCGGATTAATCTATTCGTTAATTCAGCCATCAGTTCCATTAAATCGTGGAAGCGGGCTCTTTTTCGTGTTGTCTCTGACGGTGAGATTGGTGGCGTCCAAAAGAGACCCTTGATTATCAATGGAATGCTGTTGATATCAATTCTTTGTATTTTATCATTTATTTTAAGTATTCTTTCTAATAATGGTGGCATATCAAAATCAGGTGTGGAAATTGAGCAAGAAATTGATCCAAATGATGCCAAAAACGGAGCTGAAACACTTTCTGCAGACCCTTTTACCCTATTTCACGTTGTGACTGGCAAATATTGCATTCCAAAAATTTCCAATGCCCTTACAACATATAGGCAAATGGATTGCGGAGAGGATGCCTTTAAGGTCAGACAGTCTGATGATGGCACATCCTGGATCATCGGTAACTGGCTTTTCGTAATTTGTAGCCGTGGCCGATGGCGTGGGCGGATGGGCAAGTAAAGGGATCGATTCATCTACTTATTCCTGGGCGCTAGTAGACTGTCTTACATCCGAATTCTACTCAAAAGATGAATATCGCCACTTGACGCCGAAAAAGCTGCTAGTAAATTGCGTGAATTCAATTCAAAATTCTTACAAGACACAACTGTACAGTGATCCGGTGAATGCTTTTAAAATTGACGGAAGCTCGACGGCCGTTGTTTTAAAAATCAATTGCGAAAGACCCAACAGTTGTGATTTATTTGCCGCCAACTTGGGCGATTCTGGATTTGTTGTTTATAAGTTGGCGGATACCGATTCCAAATGGGTGGAGGTCATGCGATCAGTTGAGCAGCAGCATTCATTCAACTTCCCATTTCAAGCTGCAGCAAATCCATCTCTGGGAGATTCGCCGGCTAATGCTGAGGAGTATGGAATGACATTTGAGGAGAGGTCCTCATATCTTGCACTAGTTGCTTCAGACGGGCTTTTTGACAATCTATTTCGCGACGAAATTTTGGACATTTTGAATGGACACACTTCCAACATTACGTCCATGGTATTACATTCACTTTCAAAAGAGTTGGCAGAGAAATCGATTTTGGTCGGAAATAGCCGCACCGTTTGCGGGCCTTTTTGTAAAAATGCCCAAGCTCACGGATACAAATTTTCCGGGGGGTACCTGGGAGAATACGTTGGAGGGTACATGGATAACATTTCGCTAACCAAATCTAGGAAACTTGATGACACCTCAATAGTCCTTGCATACATATCAATTGACAGCCCCAAATAGGCATGCATGCACATGTGCATGTACGGATTAGCTACCGCAAATAAATTCTTTATTATTATGCACATTACGCATCAATTACGGGATTAATTTAGGGCATGGTGAGCGTCATTTCCTGGAGAGGGGGCATGCAGTGACCTGCTTTTGCGCTCGCGGTCCAAGTGATTGGAAAGCCTCGCAAAAGCCCCACCCAGAGTAGGATCTGCTCGAAATAAAAAGGAAACTAAACGACATCAAGGGGTATGCATCCTTAAGTGTTTAAAACAACCTCATATTATATCTCAATATGAGGATGAAGTGGCAAAACACATAAATACCACTTGTACATTCTGTAATTTAGGGTTAGACATCCGGCCTGTAGCAAGAACAAAGCTCGGAGAAGGAAACACCAAAAAATGTCGGAAACCGCTAAATTGAAAAGGGAGGGAAAATTGCATATCTGACAAGATGTAAATTAAAAGTTCAACTTTGGTTTCGATTTTAATTTAAAATGACTTCTCCAGACAAAAAGGATGGCAGTCAAGATTCATCAACTTTTTTTGAACCATGCTCTTCTTTTTTCGAGTCAAGCTCTTCTTTTTTCGAATCAAGCTCTTCTTTTTTCAAACCAGGCTCTTCTTTTTGCGCGCCAGAGAATGGCGAATTAATTAACACGGAGGAGAAACAGCCTTATTCCAATCAGTTTTTATCCAAGTTGCTTTCCAAGTACTTTTTGGACCCGTTATTATTATACCAAACATCTAAACAGGCCGCATTGAAAACTCCAAGATATTCAATATATTTACCACACGACTCGCTTGTTGCAAGGGAGGTAACTCCATCTCAAAACATCGATATTTCCACGATAAAAAAACAGAATTTTCAAAGCTCTACTGATTGCCATCAGTACTTTGATTATTCTGTGGATTCGCCTTTCGGCCACTATGATGAATATCCTAGGGACTATAATTCACGATCAGAGACTTCCCAAGCATCTATTCCATTAAAGGCGCTCTTTTTTGCCATCAGTGTGCCGACATTCGCAATTCTGATTGTGTTTTCCTTTTCTTATCTTTCCTTTGAAGGGGAGAAGATAAATGCTCTTAAGGAGCTTCTAAAAGAGTGGAATGCTCTGGAATCCAATGGAGCTTAGCATATATTCTTGTGATTTCGCTGTGTTTTATATTTTATTTGTTTTATATACGGGGTCTTCCTTGATTATTGGAATCATATAACCATTGCGGGGGCTATGCGATAGCTAGTTGGTAGGCGCTCGTAACGCCAACTAGAATAATCTTTGAGAATAGTACCAACACTGTATGAATTAAGAAGGCACTATTGCTCAAGGTTTCAAGCAGAGGTTCTCCTTCGAATTTCCTCAGCGCCAAAAAAAACTTCAACAGCCTAATAAGCCCCTTTGTATCGCTAAAAATCCCCTCAATGGGGTTTAAAAATATCACCACCAGCAGAAAAACAAGCGGAACTATAACCGAGCATATTTTCTCCCTTCTTGGCCGCTTCATCGCCATGCAGCTTTAGCAATAAAACTCTATTTCTGATACTGCAATTGGCTGCAATTGTTTTCCTCCTCCAATCAGCTGCCATGTGCAGTTAATACAATTCATGTTAAATTAAACCCAAACAAATTAAATTAATGGATTTAAAAAAGCGAAAACATCACTCACCCTCTGCCCAGTTTGTGGAGCAGCCATCTATTGCTGATCGATCTCCGAAACCGCCACCTTATTCAATAAGGTCCATCCCAAAAATAATCTTAATTTTATTATCGCTTTTATTTTCTTTTGTCGCTGTAACGTTTGTTTACGTAATGATCAATGGCAATTTCCACATTCTTGGCTTCAGAGGGTCGGAGAAGAGTGGCACAAGTACAAATACCACCAAATTTCTATCAACCTTTCAATATGTCGAAATCACGGCTGCATATATGGATGAGCTTCGAAAGCTTAACACGGTTCTATTGCCAATTTCGTATTCGGACTCGATGTATAGGATCATTTGCGAAAACACACGATTCAGCCGAATGGCGTTGAGAGAGGGGAGGTTTCCCACAGGTTCGATCACAGCAAGGATAGAAAGTCCAGCGATCACTGGCGTCTCGTTTGCCAAGCCAGGCCAGAATCCGGAAAAACATGTTTATATTATGACCATTGGGGTCCTTCCCCTATATCGAAGGTTTGGGATAGGATCTCACCTCTTGAAGGAACTTGAAGTGGAGGCCAAAACATTTAATTCAGAGGGACATCCATTTCACCTCACAGCCCTTCTTCTTCACGTCCAATACAATAATACGGCAGCCATCGAATTTTATTCCAGAAACGGATTCAAGATGGTCAAAGATATTCCAAATTACTACGTCACCGTGCAGCCTCGAAGAGCTTATTTGCTTGCCAAAGAAATTTAATAAACGAAATCTTTTGGCCACCAATTTTTATTTCACGCGATGGATAAGCCTTCAGGGCCCACGAAGCAGCTGGTTCGGCTTGCCCTCTCCACTGCGGCAAAGAAAAAGGTCTTGAAAAGGCAAGAGGTCTTCGAAAACAGTAACGGTCCTTTTCACCTTCCTCTCTCATAGTTGATTCGATCAAGGGCGATGGGGCCAAGCTAAAAAGCACTCTTGACGACGCCAATACACATTTACTGGCAATCTTTGGATATTACCTTGTTGATATTAAGCCAAAATCGGGTACTATTTCCGGGTCTCCAGAGACCCTCCCATCATCGACGTTTTGGTACAATAGCCAATGGATCGTTATCTCCAATTTGGATAGCAGAGACCAAATGCTGCTTCAGTTTTTGCCCAAATCAAACGAGAGCCTTTTTCATGGCCTAGTTGCGCTATCTATATTCTTCATCTCAATAACGTCTGGATCTAATAGAACCGTTGAAGGCAGTGCTCTTTCCGCTTTTCTTAACAGATATGCGTCCTTGAGGGTAAAATGGTTCATCTCCGAAGCGGTGCGAGCCCTTTACCTGGAAAGACATAAAAGCTCTTCAGATGTCTTTTCGTCGGGTGATTATGTTGGCGATGAAGATGCCGAAGTGGAGCCTGACGATAAATGGCTTACCGCCTCGTTTGGACTGGGTATAAGGTCACTTTTAGAATATTCCCCGCAGATTTTAACTTCGTTAGTACTTACCGTGTTATTTTCAACATTTTTTAGATTACCTCAATAGTCCCCGGTGATAAACTAAATCAGAATGCATCGGTGTCACCGGCCGCTTTGGAGACCTTTTTCCGGCAAAGCTTAAATTCTCGCTAATTTAAATAAACAAGGAGCTCTTCACACATGATAAACATCCTTCAGGAATACATTCAGATAGATACGTCATCGCATCAAAATACCGATGCGTGTCTGGGCTTCTTGAAAAAAGTAATTGCAAACCGCTTTTCTGCAGACAAGCGAAATGCTCAATTTGGAGTATTTGGAAGTGGGGTCGCAACAGGAGCGTCAATTGCCAATCGTACTAATTGGGACTCCCAATTTCCGATCAACATTGACCAACACGCTGTTGATAAATGCTCATTATGACGTGGTGCCGGCAATGGCGGAGACTTGGAAACATCCTCCCTTTGGTGGCGTCATCGAGGACGGAAAACTATATGGCCGAGGAACTCAAGACTGCAAATCGCTGACGATTAGGTTGGGGACTATTTCCTTTCTCGTATTTATAGTGCGATGATTGCCCTGTCGCAAATCAAGAGGCCTTTTTTGAGAAGTGTGATTATCTCAGTCATGCCAGGTAAGATGTATAAAATCCTTTCAAAGACGAGGAGGTGGGTGGGAGCAGGGGGATGGACATTTTTTCGCAATCGCAGCTTTTCAAAGAGCTCCGTGTAACACAGGTTCTAGATGAAGGTATTTTGACAGCATCTGTCGAAAATAGGAATTCCCTGCCCAACGGATGCGATGTATTTTTTTCCTGATGAGAGAGAAGCAAAATGTACGAAAAAGAAACACCAATTGTCACATAGGGATCTCAATCGAATCAACATCAAAGGCAGCACATGCCAGCATACCGATGCAGGGGCAATCTGCAATTGATAGACTGGTATTTTGTGCACGCTTTTGATTAGATTTCATTTCTTGTGACCGCAAAGGATACGATTGGCACCAAAATCAACGAAAATACGGTTGAGGAAATAGGCCAGAGCATCACCGTGAATGTTACTCGATTAATGGTATGAAATTTTAGCAGAAGCTTTATTTCTAGGCAGGATATGCAGATAATGTTGTTCCTGGAGAAGCCAAGGCTAGTATGGTGATTTATAAAAAATGCCCTAGCCATCGATTTACGGGCGCCAAGATCTTTGATGAGAGCCTCTTTAACAAAAATAGATCAAATAGCGCAAGAAAAAGGGTACTCTGCTCCCTTAACTATAACCAAGGGTTACATTGTGCCATGGTCCACCTGCTGCTGAATTTGACACAAATTCAAACGACTTTCAACAATCTCTAAAGTCAATACTAAACGGGAAAGGGATCGAAACAATATGGGCCATATTCCCCGGAGCTACAGGTATGCTCTGGAGATTTAACGATTTAGATAGCAGATACTTGAGATCAAAAGGCATACCTTGTATTGGATTTTCACCGATACGCCGTTGCCCGATCTTACTGCATTCGGAGGATGAATACATCCCAATTGATTCATACATGGAATCAATCTCAATATTCAAACATGTAATTGAGACATTGTGTGCAAAAAATACAATATGAGCTAAAAGTTATCCAAATTTTCAATAATCTCTGAAATAACGTCGCCTTCAATTACGTCGTTGGCAAGCATGGCATAGAGTTCACCAAGGGGGATAATGTCCCCGGACGTTAGATCCCTAATTGGATCTAACAAATAGAGCGTTTCCATCGAGTGCAATCGTTTTGAAGGCGTGCCATTCTCAATCCCACCAAGATTCCTCCTAAAAGAGGCGCAACTATCATAACAAGGCGACTGATCAGGAGCTTTTGAAATGCCATCTGAATCTGAAGAGAC